CCCTGAAAGTGCCGTTTGAGCATGCCGTTGAAGTCGTGTGCCGCGTGTCGCCGCTCCAGAAGCCCAGCTCGTCTGATTGCTCCCGGTACGACGACCACGTTTAAAATCGAGAGGACGACACCTGGATCTTGATGATTCTTGTAGACAAGTTGCGTTGTTTGGACGCAGGGCTTGGCGAAAGGTTCGGGAGTTGGCCATTGGAGACGGCGCGAACGACATCGCGATGCTGTAAATCGCCCCATCGGTGTCGGGATTCGCGTCCATGAGGGAATGCAAGCTGCCAACTGCAACATGTTGCTGGTGAGTCGCTACGTCCTGAGTTCCCCCGTTCCTTTGAAAACGTCTTTGTAGGTTCTATCCAAAGCATGGGTCTGTCAAGTCAGCGGTGCGTCCAGCCAGAAATGGCCGCCGACGCTTCTACACGGCGCTGCCTGTCATCGTGTTCGCCGTCTACGAGAAGGTCGTTTGGTAAGGACGCAGTTGCTAACTTGGCGTTCAACCCGACCGACGAGTGGGCGCTCCAGTAAGCCGTGTATGCCACCTTCATCTTCGTTTGCTCCAGATTCCAGGTATGCTTGACGCGACTTTATCTCTTGTATCTCACGCTGTGGTTGTAGAAACAACCTGCGCCGTCCACGGGATACATGTATGCCGTCGCGATTGACGAGTACACGGCCAGCGTTGAAGCCAAGTTCGGTCGGCGGTCAGCGTCTCCCATACTCGCATCTCGTCGACTCACCGTGCATTAGCATCGCATAGCGTTCACCCAACTAGATCGTCACCGAGCATGCCTTGGGCAGCATGGCCGAGTCGCCCAGCATCAGGTCGGTTCCGACCATGTGGGTCGTTGTTGCATTACATCACGAGCCAATCAGAAGGGAGGGTGGTGAAATTTTGCTTGTTTTCTCGGCGCGGGTGAATTTGAATTACACCAATCACTGACAAGATCGAAAATTTCCGCGAATCACCGTTCACAAAGAATTTGAATGCACCAATAAAATCGCATTATTTCAATTGACCAATCAGAAGGCGGGCCTTGTGCTCATGCAAAGTGTGTAAAATTGGTGTGCACGTCAGGTCATTTTCGATTTAGCACGAAAGACACGATGACCCGAGCTGCTGCCAAGACTACCGCTGAACCTACCCCTGCCGCGACGACGGAAGCAGCCCCTGCTGTGGAAGCCTCTGCCCCGGTGGAGTCCAAGAAGCCCACTGCCAAGAAGGCAGCGGCTTCCAAGGCCAAGGGCAAAGCTGCTGCCAAGCCCGCTACTAAGAAGGACTCTGCGCCTAAGAAGCCTGCCGCCAAAACCGCTTCCAAGGCCACCCCCGCCGCAGCTGCCAAGACAGCTACTGGCGCCTCGTATTATGACTGCATCAAGGAGGCTATCCAACACTTGGCTGAACGCAGCGGTTCGTCCCGTCAAGCAATCTCTAAGTTCGTCCAAGGCAAGAAGACAAACAACTTCCAAAGCCACATGTTGAACAAGGCGTTGAAGGCCGGTGTCGACAACGGAAAGTTGATCCAAGTCAAGGGTTCGTACAAGTTGGCTGCATCTGAAAAGAAGCCTGCGGCTTCCAAGAAGAGCTCGACCAAGAAGGCCGCTGCCGCCAAGGAGGTAGTTGTCAAGAAGGTGGCCGCCAAGAAGACTGTGACTGCCAAGAAGGCCCCCATCAAGAAGGTGGAAGCCAAGAAGAAGACATCTGCCCCTGCGAAGAAGGCTGCCACGAAGAAGACTCCTGCGAAGAAGGTCCCAGCGACCAAGAAGGCAGCCAAGAAGGTGACCAAGAAGGTCGCCACGACCAAAAAGACCAAGAAAGTGTCCAAGAAGTCGGCCTAAAATGTGCACGACTGCCTATTTACACCCCGAGTTGAACGACTCGTCCCCCCCAAATCGGTGTTTGTAAACACCACCCAATCGCGCAGAAAGTCTTGTCGTGTGTTATTTCCACGTGTAGTAAAAAGTGCATGAAATGTAGGTGTACAATCTCGGTGCAGGATGTGAACCAACGCCCAGTCAGTGGAAGCACGCGGGTGAAACTTGTCGTGGATGTCTCGCTTGGTGTTCCGATGCCGTGGCTTACACAAGTTCTCGGGCAACGGGGACCGAGGCAAAGTCGAGTGGCGCGGTGCGATCAAAGAGATTGAAGTCGATGATCGCGCCTCCGTTTTCTTGGTCCAGAAACACGCAGTTGACAAACTGCTCGTTGAACACGATGTCGTGGGCCTTGAATGAGTGCCGCATTTGGGTCGTCGACGACGTGGCAGCGTCGACTCCTTCCACCACGACCACGACTTCCATCTAGAGCTGTGTCATCAGCCACCGCCACGGCCGGAAAACACGTACATTGATTTCGCTCCAGAAGTGCAAGAGCCGGTCGATCTCGTCCTTGGTCACGGATGTTAGCACGTTGTTCAATGTCGTGTTGAAGAGCGGCGGCTTCTCCGGGCGGTAGCGGTTTTCGCGGGTGCCAGTCTCAATGTCGACGGCGCGTTGCGGCGGCTCTACCATGGCCACGAAGGATGATGGAGGAAGGACATGTGCGGGCGGTACCTGGAAACAGCGCCTGCGCCGCGGGGTTGTGCGCGGGTTCGGGGTGCAGCGGCGGCGGATTCAACGGACTCCACGCGTCCAACCGATGGACGCAAATGGTGGGCAGGGCCAGGATAAGCCATCCATTCAAGTCGTCGTCGGGCTGTTGGAGACGCATCGGGTACGACTGGAGATGGTGCACTTGATGCGGGAAGTGCGCCGACTTGTGCAGGACAGCGTAACACCGCACGTGCGCTTCCGAGAGCTAGACGGTAGGGCATGAGCGACATTTCATGATGTGCCACGTAGCTGGTAGCCACACGAAGAAGGAGAAGAGTGTCAGCGTCGCACCTGGTGCTTGCGCATTTCGCACGTTTGAAATGTAAAGTAGAGATGTCCGCGGATCTTTTGGATGCACGCATACGCCGACACACGGATCGTGTTGGCGCGAGACTAGAACAACGACAACATGGCGATCAGGACAACATGGGGGTGGGAATGGATGGCTCGCACGCACCTGGCCGCGAGCAAACCGCTGGTAAAAGATGCCAAACGCGACAGCATCAAGGAAAACGCCGACAATAGTCTACATGGATATATTCGTGGGGAGGTGACGAGTGGCAGAATGGATGTAGAACGTACCTGGAGCGTGATGATGCTGATCGCACTGGCGCAACTGTTGAAGAACACGTCGTTGCCGCCGCTGCCAAACCCAATCGTGAAGAGCACGCTTACGGAAAAGATGAACGCTTGAGGGAACGTCGCGATGGCCAAGTTGCACGAGTTATCGACCGTGAGGTATAACAAAGCGAAGACGACGATCACGAACAAGTAAATGAGCGTGAGCGCCAGAATCACTTTGTGCACGCTCATGTTGACAAGTGTGTGGAACGGAGCGGACAGGTACCGCTTGTACGCATCGGTCGCGCGAAGGCGGCGAATGCTACGAGAAAGGAGAACATCAACATGCAGCAAAAATGTGCATGGGTCAACATCGACGAGGTGTTGAACGTACTTCCATGTCCCGAAGGAATGGTTCGCTCCAGCCGACCGGTCAATCATGCGACCTTTGCGACTGATGTTCGAAGGAACTGATCGGCCCCCGCGCACTTCGTCGCCACCTTCCATGTAGTCTATACGTCATCCATGAGATCTCACGGTGCAAACGCGGCATGGATCACCGGTTGCGGTCTTCTTGTCAAAGGCGCCTTCGTCATCGCTGAGATTTGCTCCAGACCGACGCATGGTGATGAAATGAACGCGGACCCTGCACTGATGCACTACCTCTGCAATATGATGTATTGCATTATTTTATTCCTCACATCCATGTTAAATGAAGACCTGTGGGGGTGAAGTACCTGCAGAATTGAATATATTATTTCGGTGCGCGTTTCCACGATCCGACGCGTTATCCGGTTATAATACATTATCCGGAAAAAAGCACCGTTCGTAATGTGACAAAAACTGAATTTGACCGCGTGAGCAATATCTTGTCACGGTGGGGAATCGATCGATCAAAATAGTCCAGTGTTTATCAAAATATCTTCAGCTTGAGGGGAAATTTCGGACAAGTTGAACGTAATGTGCGTGGCGAGATATTTCGCACCATATCCTTCATGTTGTATATTTCGTTCGGTATGATATTTTAAGCGATTACTTGTGCGCGCCAAGCAGGAATTCAGCGGTCTGGGTGCCGCTGCCTGCCGTGCTCTAGAGCCGACGCACAGGCTCCCAGAAACCCCAGCCGCTATCTCGAGTGTGAGGAGCCCGAGGCAGCCACGATTGAACTACGAATAGTACTGGATACACTCGACAGGCGGGACGAATGTCGGATCAAACCGAGCGAAGTACTCCCTCCATAGCCTAGGCACTGTACAGTTAGCACGTGAATGGCCGGCCATCCTAACGGAGTGCTCGTACACAATGTTTTTCCACACGGTTGACGGCGCCAAGACAGTGCGCTGGGGGCTGAACAACGGGTTCACAAACGTGTCGCGCATCGACTCGATGTCGCCCCACACGTTCGTGGCAGGGTACTTTTCAAAGCAATCGACGCGGGACTTCTCGCAGTCAAACATAAAATTGCCATACTTGCAGCTGTACACGTGGTCGGCGAGGAAGAGGAGGAGTGTCGGTGCAAACTCAAACTCGGTCTCGAACTGGCGTAAGGCTTGGTGGACGCAGTCAAGCCAGAGCAAAAAGATGGGGGACCGCTGCTCGTTGGACACGTCGCTGCGGGCATGGCCACTACGAAGTCCAAACTGATGGCCAAAGCTGCACCATTCCTTCTCGATCAGGACTTGGAAGCCTTCCAGCGTTCGATAGAACGGGTCCAACATGAGCTCCGCCAACGACACCATCTGCGCCGTCCGGTCCCACCCGTCGCTGCAGTGCGTCAGCACAGACACCCCGCTGTGGACATATTCGGCCAACTCCCACGACGCTTTCAAGACCTACACATCGGAGCACCACGACCGCTGATCCACCCCGCCTGTGCATTTGTGTTCGTACCAGTCGAACGTGCTTGAGCCAGCCGGAGCTGTCGATTTTTTGAAAAAAGCTCGAGTTTTGATCCGTGTCAAGCGGGTCGAAAGCCGCAGTCAGCGACTGAAACGAGTTTCGAATCGCATGAATGTTTTCCATGTTCATGTGGGCAAGTTTGGCGCCGCGGTAGTTGGCCGTGCTCTCGGTACCTTTTCCCATCGCTTTGTTCCCAGCCGCCGCTAGTTGCCCGCGTGCATCCATGATGACGTACCGAAACCCTGATGGAAAGACCTCGCCCGACGTTGCGTGGCCACCACATAAGAGCTGCACCAATTGCTCGTCTTCGGCGCAACGCGCAGATTTGAGGCCAACGAGAGGCTGCGAAGACCGCGCGATCACGGCATGGTTTGTCGGGTGCTGCCAGCAAGCAACTGGCAAACGCTGGCTCGATCGAAAGGAGGCTGCCACTTGCAGCTTGATGTCCGACATGCCAGACGGGACCATCAAGTACCGAGGGTAACTCTCACAAAGCAAATACGCGTGGTCAATGCAACGGAATCGGGACGGGCCGCCCGCGGGATGGAGGAGGCCCACGCGCTGGTAGTCGGCCCGAATGTCAAACGGCATGACAACGTCCGACGGTAAAATGTGCGGTCGGTAGTGAAAGCAGAACGCGTCCGTGAGGGACGCAGGAAACGCCAGCACTGACAGACACTTGTGCATGCGGGCAAACTCTTGGCCATCTCGAAACGCAAACTTCACTTTTTGCGTGTCCTTGCATTGGAGGACAACAGTGTATTGGGGGTCGCCACGATGATGTAGATGCGAGTGGCTGTGGCGACGGCCGGACGACGTTGCGGTCGATTCAAGCGAGAGCGGGTTGATGTCGATCGGCGCTGCGTCGCTCACGATGCACGCAATCGACAGCACCGGAATCTCCCACAGCGTTCCACTGACAAACCCTTGGAAGAGACAACGATAGTTCGTGAGAAAAAGCCGTCCCGCCACAAAGTGCGATGCGCACGACCCTGACGGAGCATGGAACACAGGCTGGTGCATGGACGTCTCCATGTGGGCATAACATTGCTCGCCGTCCAAGAATGGCGGGAGGGGCGTGTCGTCCGGGAGGAGGAACGGAGTCGTTGCGCTGGACGAGGCGACGGCCGCCACAGGGTCGTCACTGTCGGCTGGAATCGAGTCGTCAACATGCAGAAACGAAACGTACAACGGTCGTGGCAGAAGCGCAATGTGCTTTTTGATCTCGTCCGTCGATATCTTGTACATTTTGACGCCGTTGATGCTTTCAATCAGGTCGCCCACGTGAACTTTTCCGCTTTGAAGCGCCTGGCCAGACAATTCCTTGACCGCTAGCCGAAAGTCGTACGGCGCTTTGGCGTTCGTCAGGACAATGCCAAGTGACCCTTCGACAAAGCACACAACATCCATGTCCTCGTGATTGCTCTCCTTCATGGGGTTGTACATGAGCAATGCGCTGTCGATGATTGCATGAGCAGGGAGCGGCGTTGACGCCGGCCGCATCAGGAGTTGAAGGCATCCCGTGTTGTCGCACTCGCGAAGCGTCGTGGAAAAATACACGAGCATGGCCACACACACGTACGGGAGCAGCTCCAACGACGACGACGGAGAAGTAGACTCGGACTCGACAGCAAACATGGCGTCCCACACGCGCAGAGTTTGATCGAGGGGGAATTCCCGCGCGAGGAGAAGACGAAGCCACCGCAGGCAGTACGTTTCTGGGAGCACTTGGACGTTTTGCAAATGACATGCCAGCTGGGGGTCGTGCTTGGCGAGGAGCTCGTATTGAACGACGTGGCAGAGCAGTTGGAGGGCAGATTGCTGCGCCGGGGTTGCACACAAGTCTGTGTCGGGGCCGTTGGAAGAGCGAAATAGGGGACGGTCCTCTGGGGACAGGACTCGCGGAGGAGGGGGGCCAAATAAATCAGCATCACTGCCATCTGCCGTAGGGAGAGGGACGTCGTCGGGGGTCGGTGCTGGCGAGATCGTTTGGATCGCATACAGAGGCTTCATCCACACCATGATTCGTTCAAAGAGAATATACGTGTCGTGCTCGAGAAATTCAACTCGGTCGTCGTTCTCGTCGAGCTTGTGGCTTGGATTGACGCAGGCGTAAAGGATGACCGCTACGAGGTCGTGCATGCCTTGCCGGTATGCCAATGTCGGATGCTGCTTGCACCACACGAAGAGGACGTTGCGCAGCATGTCCATGTAATCCTTACGTTCCTGGAAGTAAGTTTCTTGGCCTTGGGGGTACAACCGGTCCAGGTCTGTGTTGATTTCCCGCACAAGGTGATCGTCCGCGTAGAACTGGTTCCACGGATTGTCGTCGGCTTCGCTCAACGGGTGATGCTGCTGCTCCAACGTCGGGCGGAACTTGAGTTCGTCACGCAATATTTCGTACGCCTTTCGTTTTTGCAAGAGTGTCCCATCGCTTCCCACTCCCAGATAGCGCATCCAGCGCACCCCATACCCTTCCGTGCCTTGCATGATGCACCCTTCTCTGTCGGCAGTGTGCCTGCGATCTTCGCTTGTTAACTTCAATACATTATATCCTTTGATATTGTATAATATAGTACTCCTCTTGCACTCAATATGTTCTTGCTGTTGCCATCATGCTGTCAGCGATTCCTCGACGTCAGGCTCCATGGGGCCGACGAAGAATTGGTATCGCTGGCGTCATGCACGGCAGGCTGCACCCTTGGGTGCACCGTCAAGGCATACACAGTCAAAGGTGTTGAACTCAATATGATGCTTCAAGTCCGCACTCCTTTATGCCCCATTGTCTTTGCCACCGTCGCCATCCTCGTCGTCGTTGTTGTCTTCGGTCAGTCGCAATAGGTTTTGACGCTTTAGCTGCACCAAATGGTGGACGGCAAAATACGAAAACTCGTCAATGTCAACGTAGCCGTCGCCATTCGTGTCGGCAACGGCAAGCAGTGACGCAATCTCTTCGTCCGTGAGTCCGAGCGACGTGTGCCTCATCGCCGCCTGAAACTCGTCCATGTCGAGCACGCCATTGCAGTCTCGGTCTTCGGTCTCGAAAGCTTCCATGAGAATGCGCTCGAGGCCAACTTCGCTCACACCATGGAAGATCGCAGCGACTGTATTCACATCGTTCTTGCACAGTTGCATGCGCTTGGCGACATTGCGTGGGTTGATGAACTGGCGGATCATACCTGCCGCCGTTGTCGCGTACGATATGTAATTGATTAGGGCCATGGGGCTGCCGCCGTCGCCGTCGTCACTGCTCGACACTTGACTTTCGCTGTCCTTGGCGTACCCGATGAGCAGCACAACCTGGCCTCGACTCAGCATGAGTTTCTTGAGCGTGTGCATGCATTCGAAGAGCACGCTCCGTGGCAACAGACCCTTGGGCGTGACAGTGGTAGGGTCCCATGCCTTCTCGGCAGCCTCAAACGTATCCAGCAAGTAGCTCTCGATGTCAACGGCGAGCGCAAGGCTCTGCCCTTGGGCAATGTAGAACATGACTTTGGCGAGGATCCGGTCAAAGTTGGCGTACGGGAGCTTGCCTTCGTCGTTCATGGGGACGAGAGAGATGGCGAGGTTGATCTCCTCGCGACTCAAGTTGGCCAGGGGAGATGCCAGACACTTGCGAAACATGTCGTAGCTGAGGCAGTCAGCTTTGGTGCGACCGGACGCGTTTGGTGGCAGGTAGTCCGCCGCTTCGAACGCTTGGTTCAGAATCGACATGGTCGTAGCGCATTCCGTGTGGAAGTAATCCAAGTAATCGTCGTACAGCTCGTTGAATTGCGCTTTGAACTTGTAACCAGACGGCATGCGAGAAAGAATATCCACGGCAGCCTTCGCGAACTCTTCGTAGTTGATGCATCCATTGCGGTCCAGGTCTGCCTGCGTAAACAGCAATTCGACGTGGTCTTCCCTGTGTTCATTTCGTTGCTGAGCACGTTTGAGAGAACGGTACCAACGCTATAACGTACTGAATCAAGCCCGAGCGAATCGCGTTGCGGAATTCGACTACACTGATCGATCCGTCGCCATTTCGATCATACGCTTTAAAGAGGTCCAGGAGCTGGACTTTGACAGCATCCGCGTCGATGGCGTCTGGGTTGGGCTCGACAATATCGTACCGTGGCTCTTTGACACGGGATCTCGTGTACTCGTCGGACAAGTCGATGAGGCCGGACCGCTTCAGCGCGACCTTTCGTGCGATCACCCGGTCAAGCAGTCGTTCGTCAAACTCGATGTTGTCTCGAAGACGGTACACATGTCGGTCGTTTTCGATTTCGAACGACAGAATTTCGCGCATGTCGTCCTTGAGCGTGAACTTGACGTGGACGACTGCGAGAGGGCACGGCGTGTCCGGGCGTGGCTTGCCCAAGACAGCATGCACGATGTGGCGGTATCGGTGGTCCACCGTCACCGACGCCGTGTACGACAGGTTCAGTCCGATCAAGTAGCGGCGCACCTGGATGACGGACGACACCACCGTGGACGACGCGCTCGACGACTTGCTCATTGTCTTGGAAATGCCGAAACTGACAACATCTTCAATTGAAACGGCCAATCACACCAACACTTTGATTCCACCAATTAAATCGCGTCATATACCTCAATCTCCAATGTTTTCTACCAATAAAACGGCTGGAAAAAGCGGTCGACAACAGCAATGCCACACCAAGGCACGATCGATGGACTGGTACTTGGACGAACAGAGCACGGCGCTGCAGTACTACGCTGCGACGCCGGGACAGCGCACCTTCAAGGTCCGTGTGGACGCGATGTGCGATTATGTCCGTCCCCTTGTGCTAAAGGCGTTTATCCAACGCTCCAAAACATGGGACATCGTGGCTGTGGACGGTGACCCTCGAACACCCGACCTCTTGGTACGCACTGGTTGATGTTTGGCTGGTTGTTTGCTCATGGTCAATTGTAGTGGCAGGAGTACGAAGATTTAAATTGGAAGGAAATCCTGCGTGGCCAGGTCGTGGCCAACTCGTACTGTGTGCGGAAAGGTCTGTCGCGTAAAGCCCAACTGTCCATCTTCCTCTCCAAATACATTCGCAAGAATCCTGCGTGTGTCTTGAGCAAGGCGTTGCCGCAAACGCTGGTCGTGGATCTCTGGGATGCCTTTGACCAGAGTTTGGCCGACCTCGGCATCAGCTTCCGCAACCGCCTCGAGTCGTGCCTGTGGGAAGTAAAGCAGGTTTTCGACCCCGAAAACGCCGACACGTACGTCGCGGGCGGGCGCTGGATCATGAAGCCTAGTGCGACGAACAAGGTACCTACCTGCTAGACAGCGTGCGGCGTGACGATCTTACGTGACCAGGGCGCAGAAGTCAACGTGTTCAACACCTACGACAAGTTCAAGGCCATCATTTCCGAGTGGACTGACATCCGTGGTAAGCTGTCCGCACTGTAGCCTCCCACGGTCATGCTCGATCTGCATATTATCTCCAGCATTGAACCGCCCGCCTCCTGGCCGGTCACGACTATGGTTTTTGCCAGAATCTTTCCGTGGGTTGCCCGACAAAACTTGACGCCGCCGTGTCTGTGGCTTAGAATGGGTCGTCCAGGCTTACATTGAGCGGCCGCTGCTTCTGAGGAAGCGAAAGTTTCACGTGGGTCCATGCTACCCCCCAACGACGTCAAAACCGGTGTGGCTAGGTTCGCGTGTATGTCGTCGCGGTCGGCGCGCTCGAAGTTTACGTGTATCAGAACGTGCTGCTTCTCACCTCGTTGAACGCGTACGACCCTGCGAACGTCGACGACAAACTGTCGCACATCACCAACACGTACCAGCAACAAGACCACCCAAACTTTGTCGAGGCGGACTGTGTGTTGCTGCTCGAAGACATGGAGGCTATCCTTCAGGAAGACCGGGGGCTGTCGCCCGCCCAAGCCAAACGAGTCACGACGACCATGCTCGCCGACATTGGTGCCATCACAAAGGACGTGTTTGCCGCGTATCGAGGCGAGTTTTCGGTTTTCCAGCCCTTGCCCAACTGCTTTGAAGTGTACGGCGTTGACTTTATCGTGGACGACGACTTGCGTGTATGGCTCTTGGAGGTGCGTGCGCCGTTTTCACTTAGGCCGTGGTGGCATGGCCAGCGGAATGGCTGCTTCATGACATCCTAGGTGAACCCTGGCCCGGATTTCAAGCAAACGGGCAATCGGCTGCAGCCGTTAATCCAGACGCTGTTTGAAGGCATGGTCGACATCGTCACGGACACGTTCTTCGTCAAGCCTGCCACGCAACGCGTGTACCCTGCCTTTGAAAAGGTGTACAGCGACAACTGGGGCACGTCTGCCACCATGACGTTTCGAGACGACTAGGCACTCGATCTCGTTGGAAAACGCCCCATGTCAATCCTCGCAGGACCTGGCACTCGTTTGTGGCAGCCTCGAACGCCCGCAGCTTTAGATAAAGGTCGCAGCTTTAGATAAAGGTCTCAGTCGAAACCACGTCCTGTTGAGTTTTGCACGTAAAGTGCTATTGGGTCCGTCGCGGTCGATCTCGAACATTCCAGATCGACTAGCGGTGGCATTGCATGGTGATCCAATCGAACGGTTCAAATGGAATATGAATTCATGCATGGCTACGACGATGGCGTGGGGTCGACGGTGTTTGGATCGCTCGAGACAGCGGCACGCGGCGACGTTTGCAATTGGATTTTGCCAAACGGGGACGCCGGCCACGACGTCTTCATTCGGCGGTACACGGCCGGCGAGGCTTTTTTCCAGACATAGTACATGGCAATCGCATCCGACGTCGACTTGCGTGGCAGCTACCGCGTGACCCGATGTCACGACAAGGAAAACGACGGACGAGGCTTGGTGTACCAAAGCTGCAACTGCATCAAATTGCTTTCCGTACATGTCTAGCCCGCATTCAAACACGGCCAGTTCCCACGGCGACCACCCATCTATGGAGCCACGTGGTTAGTTTATCGCATGGCGTCGACAAAAAAGAGCGAAATGGACCTAAGAGATGCGGCGGTCGCACAACAGACAAAATGGGAGCCGCGAGAACGCCGCAAGGCAACCGACCGCTGGGTGCTGACTCGACCGTCTGCGACGACAGGTCACGGTGTGCTTTGCAACGCGCATGGACAGCACGTACATGAGGATGGTCCACGGCTGCCCCGTAGAGGCCGCGCATGGCAGTGTACACTTTGGTGACATCGGTTCGGAGGGCTAGTGGCGACGTCAGCAATGGCTCCAAGACGACAGGTCACGTCTACCAGCGAGTCGCGCAAGATTCGGGTGAGTGGCGGACAAGTTGGTAGAGACACCGGCTCCCGCCGCGGCGCGCTTTGGGCGTGACTGTTGTGTCAAGAGAGACGATTCTAACCATTTCTCTCGTTCAGTGTGTTGAAATGGATGATGCGTCGGCGCTTGCATACGCTTTACGGCAAGTGTCGTGCTGTCGTCTTCGTCGCTCAAGAGATCGTACGCTGTGGGGAGAATGCCGTGAAGGTCTCGCTCTTGTTTCATGCGCTTCATGCCAAAGTGATCGTGAGCAGCGTCCTTTTCGGCCCACTCGGCCTTTTCGAGACCGTACTTCTTCCACATATAGTAGAAGTGCACGACATCCCGTGTGGACTTGGTCGGGATCTGTCGGCATGAAGGGTAACAAGGATGGGTCGAGATGAGGACGCCGCACCAAATGCTGCTGAATGTAGTGGAACTGCTTGCCCAACTGCGTGATGCCGATCTCAAAGCACGTGATCTCGAACGGCGTCCATGTGTCTACGATGAGACTGGCCCTCAGCCACGAACAACGATGAATACGTACCAAGGACATGCGACGGACGAAGCGGAGACAAGAGATGTCGCAGCGTGTCGGTTGATTCCACGACTGCGGCGCACCCAAACTACGAACTCTGTCCGTGAATGGAGGTACTCCCTGCAACAGCAGACACTTACGGGAGCTTCCAGCGATGCCCACGTACCGTTTCCACGTGGTCTTCCCTGTGCGTATAGCGCGCGAACAGCACTAAAGTAACGATTCATGGCCGCAGTATGCCCTGTGCCGACACTGTGACCGTTCGGCGAGGTGGAGTGCGACGTGGCGGCCATACCGGCACTTTGTTGATAGGACTCCACCGGCGACCCTGTCGATGCAGAAGTCGACTCCAGCGACCGCTTGCTGGATCGCTTAGGCGGATGTGCGACTGATGTAGCAAGTAAGGCGTAGTTCATGCGCAGGTCTTCGTACCTGAGCGCTCGATCGGCAGCGCAGGCGGCGAATCTGCTGCCGGCGACATGTTCCTGCCAATGCATAAAAATTTACGTATTCCCCGAACCACTCCTTCTTGAATATTTAATGAAAATTATATGAACGAACTACAAGAACAATATTGATCCTCTTGGTGTAGACATTAAAATACTGCGGAATATTATTCAACTTGCCTAAAAAAATAATGAACTAATCCTAGAATTCCTTAATATTTACCAGATGCCTAAGATAACATTCGTGAGAGCATGTTGGACGTTCATGCGGTTCTGAGGGAGGTGTCTGTGGTCGACGCCCAGAAGATCCTCGCGACAGCGCGAGCCGAGAAGGCGACCAAAGAAAAGGAGATGCAAGCGATGGGAGGGTCCAGGTACCAAGACCTCATCGACGCCGCCGATGAAATCGTGAGAATGCATGAAGCCTCCCAGCGCCTCGACACGGCTCTACGCGAAATGCCGAGTTTGTGGGATAGCCTTGAGTCAAGTGTTGCGCTCGTGATGGAACCTACAGCTGAAAATGGCTCCTTTCCAACACTTGCAGCAGTTACTCTGCAGACGGATGTTGGCAACTACAACTACACGGACGTCGTTGACATCGTCGTAAGCGCATCCGAGCGCATGTGGGTCGCCATGGAGCAAGGCAGTCCCCTCGACGCCCTTTCTATCTTGAATCAAGTCAAAGGTTTGGCAATTCCTGAAAAGAATGGCACCACGAGTGCTGAAACGGACCTGATCGTGTTCGAACTCGACACCATCGCTTCGTTTACGCACGTACGTCTCCCACTCGTCCACCCATCCATTCATGGTCCTTCCTTTCGCAGCGGATTCTCTCCTGTGCTAAGCAATGCCTCCGTGTACCGTCCAGGCCAACGACATTCTACGAAGACGCTCTCTTCGTGATTCGGGACCTCGAGCCTACATCCACAGCGACCTCGTTGTGCGCCGAGTTCCTAGACGGACGGGACGCAGCAGCCACCACGTTACGGCAATCTCGGTCCTTGGACAAACAGCACGTTGTGATGAAGTCTCTTCAACTCATTTTGTCCACCTTCGATGACGCCACGGCCATTTTCGCCGCCCCGTCCGCGAAACTCTTCGATTCCGTCACAAGTGTCTCCCACCATGAACTCGAAGCGGCATGCACGACATGGGCCATCGAGGCCATTCGCAATGTACGTTCGTCTCTCGTAGCTTCGTTGCTAAAGTGCCCTTTCAGTGGCGAGCCGACCTCGACAACCTGCTCACGTCGCTCCATGACGTCGAAGCAGTTGCAACCCTCCAACAATCGATGCAAAACCTACTTGAAGGCCATCGAGGCACGTTGGTGGCGTGGTGCGTTGTCCACGAAGCCATGGGTCAGTCACCCCTCGACGATGTCGATCTCTGGGGAGTGTTTGCATCGGATCTGTTTGCAAAAACCACGCAGAGCCTCTTTCGTCAAGCGTTTGATGCAGCCGCGACGCAGTTGACGTCGGCGCTGAATCGCTATAGCGACGACGTCGACGATGACGGGGCCAACGACAGCAACGATAAGGACGTGACGGCGTCGTTCGTTGCGCGCTTGGTGGCTATTCAACGAAGCGATTGCGCTCAGCCGACTCTGCAGCCGATCCTGGCCTCCGAGTGCCTACGCGTGCTCTATAATGTCGTCACGACGCTCGTCGACACGGCGTTTTCCACGGCGCATCTCCTCCAAGTGGCTCAGCATTGCTTGGACTTGTCGGCTGCGATGCCAACGCTTTTTTCACCTGACAGCCTCCAGCCAAGCGCTGCATCAGGAGCGCAAACGTTGTGGCTATCCATTCAGGAAGTGTTCAAGGCTCACGCTGCTGACGATGGGACAACACCCGATGAATCTTGGCTGCCATTCTGTCGCTTACCACAACTTTGCGAGGTGCCAGTGCCCTTGCTTCCATCTCTTGAACAACCCGGGAACCTAACCACGACGTAGACGCTCGGCATTCCCCTGCCTCGATTTGAATGGCTAGGCGACACTACACGCTTGACATCGCACCACATCCACTTTCTCCATCTCGGCTCTGTTCAAGGTAAGCCCCACGCATCCCCTACTTCTTCTCAAGGTCGTGCCGGTCCCGTGTGTGGTCAGGAGGCGCTGCCACCGGCGCGGCATTTGACCAGCTTGCCGACACATTTTGTCACCGATGGGTGGCGCATGTCGTCCAGTGTTACGGAAAACCAATGCTGGATGCGCTGTCGACATCTCGCTACTTTGGCTATTCGAACGAGGTACTGTCCGTGCCTTGAACGGACGTGTGAGCATAGGATGAAACTTTGCGCAGGAGTGGCGACGCGTCTACCATGCCACGTGGACGCAAACCCCCGCAGCCATCACGTCCGACGACGACGATGACGAGAGCAAAGCCGACTCGCTGCTCGTGTGGCTCCCTTGGTGTGCGACGCCCGACGTGTCGCATTTGCTCTTTGACGTGGCTGTGAAAATGACAGCGACGTCGATGGCGCTGTCCGGTGCCCTCCACGACCGCGTCAAGTTCCACGTTCGAAGCCAGCTCAAGCAGTGGATTCTCGAATTCATTCGTTGTACCTTGGACGCTCTATCCCGGCATCGCGTGACGTCGGTGTCGTTTGGTCAAGCCTGTGCGTTGCAATGCATTTTCGACCTGTACTTTGTCCGGGTGCTCGTGGGCGAGTCGGCCTTTCTACGATTCGGATGGGGCGACAACGACGACATGGCACCGCTCTTGGCGTGGGTGGATCCCGTCGACTGGGAGCTCTTCGGCCCGGCCCTCGTCCACCTCGTCAAGCGGCAGTACCACATGACTCGACTGCTCTTTTCAGTGTTTTTGTCCCAACCCGACTCGAACGACACGTTTGCCGACGCTGGGTTCGTCGTGTCGGATGCTGGATTGACCATGTTGGAGGTGGCCGCACCCGTCCCGCGCTTTCCACTCCTCCCCGTGCCCCAGCCACTCAAGCGTGCGCCGTCGGCAACAACTCCCCAGCGGCTCTTGCCCCCTCCCGTCAACATCAAAATGTCCAACACAGCCCCACCGACCAAGCGTGCGTCGATCCATCAAATCCTGTCGTCGTCGACGTCTCTTCTCACGAGTCACGCCACGGCGGCGTCGGTGACGGCAACGACAGCCGCCGCCAAAGGCATGTCGCTGTTTTCATCGGCCAGTTCATATTTAAGAGAGGCATAGCTTGGATGCATCTTGTCGACAGTGTAAACACGCGCTATCGATTCAGGCGATCCGTTATCCGTGCCGTTTCAGCCTTTGAAACTGCCCGCGAGCTGCCCCAACACACTCGCCGACGCGTCCCACCACACGGCGGACGGGGTTCGACATGCAGCACCCCGTGGTCGACCTGTCGGGCCTTCCTCGACCGACGGGTCACCATGCCCCCCTAGACCGCTTGACTGGGCCTGCTGCCACCGCACGCGGCCGAGAACCTGAACTCGGACAGCTTCAACTTACGTTAGACGTCGTCGACACGTCCATTTCAGGTGAAGGCATGCCAAATACGACAGCATCCACCCCGTCCGACAAGGCGCCGTATGCCCGTCGAACGGTGCGACTGCGTCATGCGCCTCTCGTCTCTCTCCCTAACCAAGTTGTGGGATGTGTACACAGCCAGGGCTGAAACTAGCTCCGATACTGAAGTCTCGGATGCAGTCGAGCGTCCGAAACATTCGGCGAGGCCGAGAACAGCCCACGATGAAGTTGATCATGCGGAAAGGAAGCGACGCTGACGACCCGTCGAGGAGGCGGAGCACAGATTCGACCCTCATGACACGTCGGTCCGTCAACCCTCCGCAAAATGCCCGATGTCCACCAAAGACGAACGCCACGAAATCGGGGTCCCGCAAGTACTGGCCCGACTTTGTCATGGCGTCGGCAAAAGCAACGTCCAAGTTTCGATGGTGTTGGGACATTTACACAATGATTCTGCTTTGCTACACAGCCGTCGCAGTGGTTCGTACTGCGCCACGTTGTGCAGGCAAGGACCGGCGCATGTGTTGACACGGGGGTGTTGTAGCCGTTCGAGATTGCATTCGTCCAACAAGACGACGTGGACGCGCTCTTCCTTTTCGACCGCTGCGTCGACCTGTCGTTCTTCGTCGACATGCTCTTTTGCTTCATCACGCCGTACTGGGACCCCCACGCAAACGCCATGATTGAGGACCTGCCACTCATTGTGAAGCATTACCTCAAAGGCATGCACGGATGGCTGCCGCCGCGTCCGTCACCGTGCTGACGTGGCCCGTTGGTAGGGTGGTTTTGCCTCGACTTCGTCTCGATCCTGCCCTTTGACATTGTCGGCCTGGTACGTCAGCGACATTTGTTTTCCACTCGTGACTGGTCGAGTAGTTTATGGACGAGACGTTCCGCCAGCTCACGATCTTTCGCATCCTCCGCATCCTGCGCATCATCAAGCTCGTGCGCGTTTTCCGTGCGTCGCGAATCTTTAGCCGATGGCAGGCCCAGCTCAACATCCCCATGGCGATTTTCAAGCTGATCGGGCACTTGGCGACCATCTTGCTCCTGGCGCACTGGCTCGGGTGTCTGTGGGGTGGGGTCGTCCACTTTGAGAGCCACAAAGACGGCCTAGGAAACAAAATGTCTTGGATGACTGTGTACGGCATCGATGACAAAGGAATGCAGACGCAGTACGTGACGTCGCTGTACTGGGCTGTGGTGACCATCTTGACGATCGGCTACGGCGACATCCCCGTCGTCACGCTGGAGGAGAAGGGAATTGCGATCGTGTGCATGATTGCCGGCTGTGGCACGTACTCGTTCGGTACGCCGTGCCTCGAGTTTTGTCCATGACTGCAAATTGTCCTTGACGACCTAGTGATCGGGTCCATCTGTGGTGTGCTGTCAAGCATGGACGAAGCAACGACGGACTTTCGGCAAAACATGGTCGGGCCTGGAGAACGCGCGCTTTGCTCATGCCGTCGTCGTGTTGTAGGACCACTTGAACATGCTCTTGCAAAAGGAGCGCGTCCCGAAACAAATGGTCATCACGTTTCGCGAGTATTTTCTCCACACGCAAGACTTGATGAACCACAAGTACTTTTCCAAAGTCCTCGACACGCTGTCACCGGGGCTCAAGGGCGAACTCGGCGTGTACACGTCCGGCGAGTGGATCCACCGCGTCCCGTTTTTCCAGGGCGGACCCAAGACCGAGCACACCAAGTTTATCACGGCCATCACGCAGCACCTGACCGCGATGCTGTTTCCGCCGAACGAGTCGATGATCCGCCGGGGGGACCTCACGGACCGCATGTACATCTTGTCCAAGGGGTTCGTCTTTGCTATGCGTGTTGGCGACCGGCTCATGCGTGCATGATGGCAGGATCGTCGCGCGGCTCGGGAAAGTGATCGGGAAAGGCAACTTTGTCGGCGAAGACGTGATTCTGTCCACTGGCGTCCGGCACTACGAAGTCCGCACACTCACGTTTGTGGACGCGATGGTGCTGACGAGGGCCGGCCTCCAAGAAGTGCTGCGAGGCCACTTTCCCCATAAGAAGAAGACCATCCGCCGCGCGTCCATCTGGCTGTGTCTTGGGAGGAAGATGGAGTACTTCTTGGAGGAACTCAGGTACTTGCGAACGTCGCCGCAGCACGCGTGGACACACGCAGAAGAATCGGACTGGTTTCGCGCGCGGATGTTCAACGACCACGACTTGGACCTCGTACGTCGTTGTTGGCATCCCACGCGACAACTCACGCGGTTGTAGGAATCGGCGCCTCTCCACTTGGCGACCCAGTGCGTTGCTGCCGCCCAGAAAGCGCTCGCGGCGGCCGTCGCGCTCGATTCGTCCTTGTCAAGGCGCGACGACTTTTTTGCCCTCACCACGTGCACCAAAGCATCGCACACGATGCTGGAAGACAGCTGCCGGCGCGGCGATAGCGCCGCCTATCCACCCGCCATGTTGGACGCGACCTTGCCATCCACGTAGCGAGTGCACTATTTAACACCATTCAACACACGTCCTCAACGCGACTGTCGCGTTGAAACGTGCTCTCTCACTGTCCTCATCGCCTTGACCACATGACACGGACGGGTGGCTCTGGGCGCCCCGACGAGTCATGGCGGCGATCACAAGAATGGACATCCTGTTCTATCGACGTATTCCCGCGTGCATCGCGCGACGAGCTGCGCAACGTCCTGACACGTTTGCGAGCTGCGGCCGAGCTCCACTTGCAGATTCCGCAGATCCTACGAAATCGTTGGGGGTGGGTACCTCTTGCCGTCAGCACCGAAGTCTTGATGATTTTACCGTGGTTTCGTTTGCGGTTTGCTGGGCCAATTCGACGAGGACTGCGTCGTGCTGGTGCTGCGAGTGTCGCAAGTGCTGCTTGGCGGCGTCGAGCTCAGCTATTGCGCCTTGGAGCTGGCGCTTGATGTCGTCCACTTCGATGGCTAGCAGTGGCTGGGACTGTAGACTGGAATGCGCTTCCTAGGACCGCTTGGAGAACTCGCCCTGGCGATGAACACAATGTCGATGGCACAAACCTCGGTCGCGGCGTCGAGTGCTTTGTCGGCCGCGCAAATATCTGCAAGTGTTTGCTTGAGCTGAGCTACTTCACGGACCGATGCCGCGATCGCGTCGTCGACGGCTCGAAACTGTGCGTCCTGCTTTGCTTTCTAGTGTCGCTTTAGCTTCGCATTCAACTGACTTCACCGACCGCTTACGTGAGATTGGCATAGCGGCAACAGGGACTGGCAGTGCTCGAGCTGCATTTGCAACTCGTGCTGCTTGCTGCGCTCCTCGTCGATGGTGGCGCGGTACCCAGCGACTTTGCCATGGACCGATTGCAGCTCGGACGTTAGCGCTATGTGCTGTTGGAACAGGGCTACAATCTACGCATTGCCGTCATCTTGCAGAGTTACATCCGATGATGACAAGGGCGTTCGTTACCCGTCTTTCGTCCATCACGTTTAGGGACCCTGCCACGAGCTTGACGGTGTCGAGGTCGATGGTCGACCGCTCCCGCTTCCTGTGCACACGAAGCGGTGAAATAGACGGCGATGGGGCGACAACGGCCTTCTTCGTAGACCCTTTCCCACACGACTTGGACGGCAGGGCTTGCCAGGTGGTGTCTTTCTGTGCCTTGTCCGCTAGATACATCGCCAAGTACCCCTCTCCACTCGATGGCAGACGGTCGAGAATGCGGGATGGAGACAGAATCGGCAGCGACGTCGTGTGTGTCGACCGATGCATTTCGGCCGGACCGCCTCGATGGGCAAGTTTCAATTCCGACGTGGAGCAAATGGCGGTTTCATCACGAATGCCTTGATGGGAACTGATGGTGCATGGACCTGCTACGGCAACTCGGCACGCTGTAAAGCGTGCCACGTACACCTCATGCAGCCACCATGGACGACTCGAGGCGAAGTTCATGGCAGTCCACTTGTACTGTCAAGTGGTTTACTCGAGCGGTAAGCTGCAAATTTCGTTGCTCTCTAAAGCGGAAGGCTTGAGCACGGTCGTGGCTGACATGCACGTTTCAGTGAATGTAAGGTCCGCTTACCCCACCGCTGCGAGTTTTAAGCCTGCTACGTATTGGCTTGCTAGATCAGTACGGAGACGAAGAATTTCTCGGTCAGAAGGGTGGTGTTGAAAAACACCAGGTGAAGAGCACGCTACTTCGTCGCAGCAGGTAATTTAAGAGCGCTCACCGCGGATGCGACGAGCCAATTGGATGTCCTTGGGCATGATGGTGACACGCTTGGCGTGGATCGCACACAAGTTGGTATCTTCGAACAAGCCGACCAAGTAAGCTTCAGCAGCTTCTTGCAAGGCCAAGACAGCCGAACCTTGGAAGCGCAAGTCGGTCTTAAAGTCTTGAGCGATTTCACGCACCAAGCGTTGGAAGGGAAGCTTGCGGATCAACAGTTCCGTAGACTTTTGGTAGCGACGGATTTCACGCAAAGCGACCGTACCAGGGCGGTAACGATGGGGCTTCTTCACACCGCCAGTGGCAGGGGCGGACTTGCGTGCGGCCTTGGTGGCCAATTGCTTACGGGGAGCCTTGCCACCAGTGGACTTGCGGGCAGTTTGCTTGGTACGAGCCATTGTATGAGACTTGAGTCGAACGAGGGCAATTCAATTATGGCGCTCTCTGGCGTGAATACAACGACAAACCGAAACTGGGGGAACGAGTTACAACATCGTGAAAATTCCCACCAATGAAATGCTACAAGTTGCACTATCAGATGGTACTATTGGCGGAATTTTGAGTCTTACAGAATTAAACGACACGCATTGGCTGGAATTTTGCATCCGATGTGGGGCCAATCAAACTGCTTTGCTTGCGTCGGAGTTCGCGCCAATCGCAGCCTCGTTCCCAGCGGGTCCATGAAGAGAGATCATTTTGAATTTTGACATCAAGCAACAATGTCTGGTCGTGGTAAAGGCGGGAAAGGTCTTGGGAAGGGCGGTGCCAAGCGCCATCGCAAGGTCCTTCGTGACAACATCCAAGGTATCACCAAGCCAGCGATCCGCCGTCTGGCTCGTCGTGGCGGTGTCAAGCGTATCTCCGGCTTGATCTATGAAGAAACCCGCGGTGTCCTCAAGGTGTTTTTGGAAAACGTGATCCGTGACTCGGTCACCTACACTGAACATGCTCGTCGAAAGACCGTGACGGCCATGGATGTCGTGTATGCCTTGAAGCGCCAAGGTCGCACCTTGTACGGTTTCGGCGGCTAAATGCCTTCTCCCTATCTTTGATTCCCTGATGGGATATCATGCTCTGGTGTTTTTCAACACCACCCAACCATCGAGAACTTTACCGCTTGTACTCTCTCTTTTACATCTTATTTCATATCACCTTCAATTGGCCTTCCCCCGGTAGAGGTCGAGAGGACTGCTTGTTGACCTCTGCAGAACCCGGGTGTGCTTGATGAGCTAAGTAATAGCGCTCGGCTCGACGGACGCTCTTCCTTCACACTTAAATCTATGTATCGTTAAGAATCGTGTGTTGTTACTTGTCGAGGTACAGCAAGCCATTCTCCTGGTCTTCGTCCTCATGGCAATAGTGAAACACAGACGGGTCTGACGCAAACACGTCGATGTTTTCTTCAATCACGCGCAACTTCTTCTCCACGAGCGTCATGAATGGCATCGAGTTGTCCTAGGCAGTCGCCATTTTCGACTCAGCCCCATCAAGATTTCTTGAGTCTGCCCTCGCGTACCTTGGGTGGCATCTCGAGCTCGACCGCGTCCTTGCAGAACGTCCCCACGTGCTATACCGCGTACCCGTCAGCATTTCCGTCATTCCATCATAACACGCCATCCTACCTGGATGTTGAACTCGGCTTCAATGCACGCATAGTACGCCGTCACGAGGACCTCCCGCCGTTGGAATAAAATCTCGAGGCGGGCCTTAAGGCTTCGCACCAAGCTAGCGAGCCCTTCCAGCTGCTTGTTGTGGCCTACAAGCGCATCGTCAAGCCTCTGTACACACATCTCATGCAATCGACCGTACTCGCCAGCATCAAGCTGCACGGGGCCAGCGTCGCCACGCCCGATGCAATGAGCCCCTTGCCCGCGACGAGAAATGGCAGCGTCAAGCCAGCAGACATTGGTGCTGTCAGCAAAGCTGTCACTGTCACCTAGACGTCCATGTTATGGCGGATTGTATTACATCGTGAGTCGGCAATACCAAAATTCCTGCAACGAGCCCGGCCGCTCCGGCAGCGACCCCCGTGCCGCTAAAATCAGCGGTCCGGCTTCGCATGTGCAGGAACGTGATTACTTCGACGAGAAGCGTGCTGCATTCGAGCAGAATCTTGTCGAGGTCGGTGAGGAAGCTCTGGAGGTCGGCCCGCATCGCTTGTAGGCTGGACGACATGAGCGAGACGAAGCGCTCAATCCTCTTGAGGATCTTGAGCTCGGCCGCTTTTTCCCGGCGATTCAGCGGCGGCAGCACTAATGTCTTAATTTCCTGCAAATTGTTTTGGAGGTTCGGCAGTAAGTTTGTGTCGTTCCAGTTCGCGACCATGACCTCGCGCGACTCTTTCTGGTCAAAGATGCGTTCGGCAACCTTCTCGCAGTGAGTTATGATCGAGTGAGCGCTCGAGTCGAGCTTGCTCTCGGAGAGGGACGTTGTGAACAGGAACGCGTCGCGGAGCGTGTCGAGCGCATTGTCCAATGCAGAGACTTCGCCGGCGTCGGTCTCCACAAGCATCCAGTTCGATTCCATCGCGCGCTTGATTTCATCCTCGACAAACGCCGTCTTGACAATCTTCACCACGTTGTTGAAGCTCTTCTCGACATCGTTCAAGCGGAAGCTGCTTTTGTTGCAGGGTCCTATTGCGGGCTCCGTCGGCGTGCTAAAGATTGGACCAGTGCTTTCGACCGTCATAACCTTTGCCGACCTATTGTCCGACTGGATCCGAGACTTGACAGGCGGCTTGCTCAGCGTGCGCTCCGATTCGTCGTGACTTAGGCTTCGGATGCGCTGAGACGTTGCCATCCTGCCGACTTCCGTCCCTGCTTTGCGCAGCTATGTGGGATTATCCGGATAACTGGCGTGTAATGGGGGGGATTCTCAATGCGAGTGGCGCAACAACCACTGCTATGTGCACTTGGTCACTCGAAAGAAAGGGTAATGAATGCTCTCAAGGTCCAAGCGCGCGCCATGTATGGCTATGTCATCCAGCTACATGAATCTGACGACTCAGCAGCATTCCATGCTCACCCATTCCAGTCGCGGTGGTGTCGGCGACGGTGCCAATGACACCACCACGACTGGAATGGCATCCGGATGAGGATGAAATTTATTAACTTTTCAGAAAATCACAATAATTTTTTACTCGCGGTCACAATAATGCTGTATGCCCATGACGATGAATAGAATCGAATTGCTATAAAAATGCTTCATATTTATTTTTTAACATCATCTTCTTGGGCTAGATGGTTCTGTGTGCTAGGAACGAGCCAAGAGGAGAGGTGGGAAGGTAGCCCCGACGGTGCAAAACAAAGACGATGGCGAGCTAAACCCGCACATGACGATGAGGACGACGATACGCGTGCAGCATGCGGCGAAGCACGGGTACATCTGAAGGCTGCGGACAAGCACCAGATTGTCGTGCATGGGCGTGATTGTTTAGTACATGTACTTGTAGCGAATATGTCGCTTGTCGCAGCACACAATACCGTAGTACTTCGACTTGCTATTTCCGCTTTGCCAAGGGTGGACAGTTCAGGCGTATGGCAGTGGGCGAAGAATGGTCGACGAGAACGTTCGAGTGATGGCGTCCAAGCACGAGGAGCCGCACCGAGCAGCCGCTCGCTCCACTGCGACCAGTCGCCAGTTGTAGAGTGGATGGCCGTATTTTTGAGGCATTTCCAACATCCGGTATACAAGAACCAACATAATTTTTTAAAATGTGCTTTATTAACCTCGACCAAGTGACCAATCGTGGCGCGTCGCAGTCGGGTGTAATTCCGCCGACGGGAGGAACGAACGTCCGCGTCGTCGCCGTCGCATGAGTAGTTGCGCTCATGCGATCCCTGTCGAGCCTCCAAAGGCATACGTTGACTTCCACGTAGATGGATCGGCGTTGCCTGTGGTGGAGGAAGAAGTGTTCGAGATGCAATCACTTCATCCATACAAGATGCGTTGGAGGGAGTCGTCACGGCCTTGGTGCAATCGGTGTGGCGGCGACCCATCGTCTCCATTCTTTTCGCTTCCTGTTCCTTTTGATCCGGCATCGACATGCAAAGACAACGACTGCGGCATGAAACGTGGATGGAAGTGGCAGTCGCGTTGGACCATCGACAAGTCGTACACGCCGTGCGATGCCGAAGGATGGACGTACGGTATGAGCATCACCGCCATGAACACTCACTTAGCCGACGGCACTCACCGCATCAAGCCGAGGCCGTATGATATCCTTCGCCGACGAAGGTGGGTGCGACGACGTGCTCGGGTCCCGATCGTTCTACCTGGATCAACCTCCGATGAGACCGACGATGACGTACGCTTCTACCGCGTTCTTCGCTTGGACTCGGCTCTGTCGCAAATTATGCATGTTCGATCGACACCACTGCACCAAATGTACAACCTAAAGTTCCACTCGGACGAAATCGCCATGGTACTGGCAGTGGCTTGTCCTTGTTTGCTGACCGTGGTCATGCCCCAGGAAGGATGGCTCGGCAAGTACGGATCGTTCACACACAATTGGAAACTGCGGTACTTTTTACTGCGGCGGGACACCAACACCCTCGTATACCTCCAGGACACGTCGTCGCTACTCCAGCTTGGCCAGGTCCCTATCACCACACACACAGCCGTCGAGATCGTGCCGTCACCATGTGCAGGCTCGAATTCGAACCGCCACCAGGTGTGCTGTCGATCTCCTGGTTCGTGTGGCAATTTATTGATGGATTCGCCGACTAGTTTGCGTTTGAGCTCGTCAATGGCGCGCGGCGATGGCGCCTCAACGCTCCCACGGATGCGATCAAGATGCATTGGGTGAATGCCATCCACGACATTATGTTCCAGCGCCAACCACCGTACTCGCTGGAGTGTGCCTCGATGTGCCGGACACGGCCCGACTACCACTCGGCATGTGTACTCCCACACCTGGCCGCCCTCGAATCGACCTTTGAAGACGCGTCGGCGATGGTCCTGACTGTTTTTGACGATCTGTTGAACCAACCAGCGGACGTGACCAACTTGGCGACGACCGCGACGGTCCAGTCCTTGCTAAATCAAACGTCGCCGGTCGCCCCATCCGCCGAACTCGTGGTACGTGCACGCCGTCGAGGTATACACCGACATCAGCACTCGTTATGCCCATGGTTGTTGGTAGGCGTTTCGAGAACAAGTGGCTGCGTCGTTGTCGCAGTTGCATAAAGATATCGTGGCGCCCTTGAAGGCGAACCCGACGAAATTGACGTTGCTCGGCGTGAACCGCGCGAAGGAGGACTTGTACATCGGGTGCACCGCCCTCGTGGACTCGATCAAATCGTTCCAACGGCCTAGCTCCAATTCAGTTGTGAAGCGCCGGTCTGGCGAAGCCACGAGGCGGCTGTCCATCCCCGAAGCATGGCTTTTAGACACGCCGCCGTCGGCCGGGTCGATAACAGTGCCCGCCCCGCCAGAAAACCTTGTCGACATCAAGCCACCCCCCCCGCTTCCCATCACTAAATCATCGTCGGTCGCGAAACCCAACCCCGGAGACATGCCTTCCACGACAAGGAAGTCTAACGCCGCCTCGCATCCTGCCAAAGACGTGCCGGTCCGACAGCCTTGCGGCCGCGCGAACGCGAAAGCATTGCTGCGTCGAGTATTTCATCGCGCTGAACATCTTGACCGCGGCGTTGGTGGGCTTGTTGTGTGGGCCGACGAGCACGACATTGGGTCCCTCATTGCGTACTCGCTCGTGTCACCAATGTACGTCGATCTGCTCCAGCAAACTTGCGGCGCCATTTCCGTGCTCCACGAGCACGAAGGCAAGATGACGTTGCGGACACCTCAAATCTACCGCGAGATCAAAAACCCGTCGTGCCACCATTTCAAATGCCACGTCGTTCTGGACAAAACCTCTGCGACCATCGCCCACACCAACACGTTGTCGACGTCGTCCGACCAAACCGAGGCCAACGCGTCGACGCAAGACAGAGCGCCGGATGGACTCCCGACAATCAGCGGCGGCGACGGTGGCGATGGTGGCAGTAGTGGAGCAACCACCGTCACGGTGTACTTTGCCACGCAATTTCACTGTCTCCGGCAAGTGATCGAACCAGGGAACCTCGGCTTCTTGAATGCCATCGCCAAGAGTGCGCCATGGGAGACTTCTGGCGGCAAATCTGGCGCGTTCTTTTCCTTGGTGCGATTCTGCTGTCAGAAGATAGCTAACTCAGCTTGTTGTGGTAGTCGCACGACCAGCAGTTTGTCCTCAAGGGCGTCGCAGCGACGGAATTCAACATGTTTGTCCACTTTGCGCCCACGTACTTCAAGTACATTGCCGAGGTGGCAGAGAAGAAGGCGTCGTCGTGCCTGGCCAAGATCGTCGGCGCATTCAAGATCAAGCTGCACGGCCACACCAAGCCCATGTTTGTGTTTGTGATGGAATGCTCCATTTTTGGCTTTCCGTTTACGCAACTGTACGACCTCAAGGGCGTGCGGCGGAACCGAAGCGTCGAGAAGGACCGACCTGTCGTGTACAAGAAGGTCCTTCCCGACGAAAACTTTGTCGACCGGGTGCCCGTGCACGTTCGACCGCACGACTTGCGACGGTTCCTCGACGCGCTCACCAAGGACGTGTCCATGCTCAGCAGCAACGGCGTCATCGACTACTCGCTGGTGCGATCTCGTCTTCGATCTCGCCGTGACCATCCATGTACCTGACTAGTTGTTGGCGTTCGATGACACAACCCTGTCCATCCGTGCCGCGCTGATCGATTATGTCCACCAGTTTGACTTTATCAAGCGCGTCGAGTCCGGCGCCAAGAAGATGTATCAGTCGCCGACCGTGCTGCCGCCCATTCCGTACAAGGACCGGTTCCTCGAAGCGATGAGTTTGAATTTTAACAGCCGCCACGTGCTGGACGACGCGCTGCACCACTCCACGAGCAGCTTCGACATGCACGACGATGACATCAACGATCACGGCAAAATCACGGTCAAGGTCAAGCGATCCCGGTCCGACATTGCCGTGCGAAACAACGACCAAGCGTCGCAGACCGAACAAGGCGACAACCACCGCACAGCTGCCACCGACGCCAGCCGTCCGCGATCCGTGAGCGACACAAGTCACTCGGCAGCAAACCCCATCGCTCTTGTGTCAATCGTCGAATAGTAAAGCTCGTTACTTTTGTGACGTATCGGACGGATGTGCAGCGTCATGTGGACGATGGCGGATACACACACCATAGCGCAATCTTGTGGTCTTTCGACGCCGACGCAAGCCACTTGCCGTCACGTGAGAACTGAACGGCGTAGACGCTGTCCGTGTGATATTTGAGCGTCGCGAGCGGTTTGAAACTTCGGTGAAAGACTCGGACTCTACATCGTGACCAGGTCAAGCAAGCGTGGATAAATGGTGTTTGACGCACGGACAACTCCAGACGGACGTCGTGGTGGCGAGTGAATGGGGGCACAATACCTGTGGTCCCACCCTGCCGTGGCAAAGATGCGGTCATCGAAGGTACGGTTGGCTACCGCGCTGATGCCAGGCTGTTTGGTTCGATAAAACGTTGCCGTGTCGGCGTCGGTGGCTGCTGTCAGCGTGACTGCAACGTGCTCTTCGCCCGACGTGCCACATAGCAGCGTTGCGGATCCATACACGGGCTCCATGCAAAGCACTATGCGTAACGATGCCTTCGCAGGGTCGGAAACAACTCTCGGCAACATACCTGTGGAAGGCGACACGGCCGGCGCGACCACTGGAGTGAGTCCTTGGCGGAGGTCGTATAGCGCGACAACTCCGCCCTCAAACCCGACGCAAGCCATCACGCCACTCGATACAGGTAGACTTGTTAAGGCCATGCACATACCTACACGAAGATGGTTATGCTTTCGGACAAATTCTTCGGTCATCGCACCAGACTTCAACGATGCGCCGTGGAATTCCATGGCTGGCTGGTTTCCGGGCGTGCGGACGTCGAAGAGAGCCACCTACTGGATGAATGACGCTATGGACACAAACACGGGAGAGTTACTGTCTCGGCGTGCTCTGTGGGCACAAGAACGAGGTTGGCATCCACAACATGTGCTTTTGTAAACGTGTACGACCCGATGGCAAGCGTCCGGAACTCTCGAAGTTCGCCACCGTCGACGGCGTCCCACCACTTGACCAAACCGTCTCGACCTTGAGATAGAATTGCTGCTCCGTGCGTGGCGGTTTGTAGGATCCCTGCCTTGGAATGCGCTTGAACAGAACACACCTCCCTCCGCGTGGTCATGTCCCAGACCTTGAGCGTTCCATCGGCACTGCCTGATACCAAACCTTGAGGTGCGGCCGCACTCAGGGATGGCGCATCATGCCTTGGAACGATTGCATGGTCGTGGACAAAGCAGAGGCTGTTGACCGGGCTCAAGTGGCCACGCAGGACGGCAGTGGGTGACGGTGCTGGATTCCGCACCATAAACCGTTATCCGGACCCTACCATATCCGGCTTGAAACGCCACCGGCAGTTACATTGCTGCCGAGTGACACTTGGGTTCCGAAACGGCTGCGCCTCCAAGACATCCAAGCTAAAGCACTGGTGGGGCAGGCATGGCTATGCCAACCGAGGCGTGACAGATGTGGCATTCTGCTTTGTAGACGCAGGCAACACAAATGGCGAAGCACGACCCGTCCGTGGACGATGTTGCATCGCCTGTACGCGACACGAGTCCGTGTTGTTGTTGGACAAACGGATGGTTGCGTAGGACGTGGCGCCAATATCTTCCACAAACAGCGCCCTGCCAAGTGGAGCGGCCAAGTACCAAGTTGAGGTGATGTGCGTCATTTACAATATGCAGTGGTGTCGTTACTGGATATGCATGGAGAGCAGGAGGGATTGATCACCAAGTCGTCCACGAGGCATCCTCTTCATGACTCGAACAAGATTGTTCCGGTCCGCGAACGGCTCCTCCGCAATTCAGCTGGGGCAGCCGCGATCGACGAAGCGAATGAAATGCGCATGCGCAAGAACAAGGCGTTTTTCCAGTCCAAGCGCATCCCCAAAGCGGGCGACCGCGCCGTCAAGAAGGCGTACAAGCGGCAAGCATACTTGCACCCCAACTCCCAGTTCCGCGCCGGATGGGACTTGTTCATGATTGTCTTGCTCGTGTACACGGCGCTGCTCACAGTACGTTGGTCATGCACCACCTCAGTCCATGGCTCACCCAGGCCTTGATCTCATCAGCCGTACGAGATTGCGTTCGTGGACACAGTCTCGTTGGACGGCCTCTTCATCGTTGATCGCACCGTCGATCTGTCGTTTCTGGTCGACATGATGTTCAATTTCATGACGCCATTCATCGACAAAGAGAACAACCAGCTCATCGACGACAGTTGGCAGATCGCGCTCCAGTACATCACGGGTACGCCAACAACGTGCGCGGGAGGTCGGCGATTCACTGGCTCGGAGGGCTGTAGGCTGGTTTGTCTTGGACTTCGTGTCGATCATTCCGTTTGATGTGATCAGCATGGTACGTTGACGGGAACGACATCGAAATTCACGACGACGATCTGCGCAGTCATACAAAGGCGACAGCAACACACCAGAAGTGTCGGCCAAGAAAGACCTGACGTCGCACTTGAAAATCATCCGCATCATTCGGCTCTTTCGCCTCATCAAGCTCGTTCGTGTGTTTCGCGCGTCGCGCATCTACTCGCGATGGGAAGCGATTCTCGGGTACGTGCGTCGTCGCGGGTCCCGGACGTCGTGCTTGAAGGCCACCACGGTGATGGCAGGTTCAAATACACAAGCGTCAAGCTGGCCAAGTTTTTGTTTTGCGTGTTGATATTAGCGCACTGGCTTGCGTGCTTGTGGGGGCTGACCCCCGCGCTGGAAGACGTCGGGCCCGACGAAATGTCATGGATGGATGCATACGATGTCGACGAGGGCAGCTCGCTCGAGAAATACGTCGTGTCGCTGTACTGGAGTGTTATGACGATTGGTACCGTTGGGTACGGCGACGTCCAGCCCAAGACCGACTTTGAGCGGTGCATATGCATCGGGTGCATGCTCTGCGGCGGTGGAACGTATGCTTACAGTAAGTGGCGCGACTTCGCGATCTCTGGCCCCGTTTGCGACAGGACAGACCGGTCGACGAGCTATACCTGACGAACTCTCTATCATCGTAGTCATCGGGGCCGTGTGCGGGCTGGTGGCATCCATGGACGAGGCCGAAACCGAGTTCAACCAGCAAATGGTAGATGAGGGACTCGTCGGATGCGGCGACCTCATTGCTCCGAGCGTAGGATCACTTGAACGTGTATATGAACAAGGAAAAGGTGCCGCGAGACATGAAGATCAAGCTCCGCGAATACTTTTTGCACAGCCGCGACCTGTTGCAGCACAAGTACTTTAGCCACGTGATCGCGACGCTGTCGCCCGGTCTGCGCGGGCTCATCTCGGTGTACACGAACGGCGAATGGGCCAACAACATTTACTTTTTCAACGGCGGGCCGTACGACGAGCACGTCCGGTTCGTGACGGCTATCACACAGCAGCTCAAGGCCGAGCTGTACCCCCCCAACGAGAACATTGTCGACTTGGGCGACCCCACCGACAAGATGTACATCATTTCAAAAGGCATTGTCGCGCGGCTTGGCCGGGTTATGGGGAAAGGCCGGTTCTTTGGCGAAGACGTGATCCTGAGCCACGGGATCCGCAAGTACACGGTCCGGACGCTGACGTACGTCGATGCATACTCGCTGTCCCGCACGGACCTCGAGGGCGTCCTCGCCAACGGCATGTTTCCGTTCAAAACCAAGAAAATCCGAGTCGCCGCCACCTTCCTCGCGCTCAAGCGCTTGCTGCAGTCGCTCATGCTCGAGCTCCGCCTCTTGCGACGAGATCCGGTCGGCAACGGGTTCACCAAACTCCACGAAACAATGTGGATGCGACGGAATTTACTCGGCGACCCCCTCGTCACACACAACCAAGTGCAATCGCAACTTCAGCTCGCCATGGAGCGCCTCACGACCGCGGTCAAGCACTGCAATGACTCGATCGAAGATGCCGAGCACGCCAAGTTGGCCGCCGCCAATTCCACCGACGGCTCCTTGTACGACACTAGCCTCGCAGCATGAAAGCCATGTTGACGCAACATGCAACTTGAATATGCTACGACATCGAGGTCGAATCATCTGACTTGGTGGTGTGCCTAGGATGCTCCTGGCAGCCCACAAGCGAACCGACTCGATCGCCACATCCAAACAATTACTCGTTCAAGCCATCGCATTGCTTCAAAAGTTGTCCGACTCGCGGGTGCCTCCGCTGACAACGTGATCCAGCCCTCGATCAAGATGGTCGCGTTATGCCTTTTTAATCAAGTCGTCAATGTCGATCGCGTCAAACTTGCCTTTCTCGGTTTCAACAAACAGGAGGCTGTGGTCGATCACGATGCTCTGCTTGCCAAACGTGTACACTTGCTGCCCGTCTTGGTTCTTGTGTCGTTTTGGTGCAAACTCGATGTTGTGCTGCATCGCAAACTCTTCGACAACGTCGCGCATGTTGACTGTGCCGTGGAGGTCGTGCTTGGGATGGACGGGCGCCGCGCGCTTCTTCCCACGAAGGAGGGCTTCCTCGTACGTGGACGGGAGGAGTTTGAGGCCAGGCAACGTCGCGGTTTGCTGGATACATTGCATCACTTGCAACGCGCCGTGAAATTGCATGCACACACGCTCTTCTACGAGCAAGTCGTACTCATCAAACAGCGCCTTCCATCCCCTGTACCAGATCAGGATTTCCCGTGCGGCGGTCGGCGGGTTCTGCATCACCCATTCGGCCAACACGTTGAGCCACTTTGTGAAAAATTCCGCTTCGAGTAACGCGACAAACTGCCGATCTGGCAACACGCGGTGCCACGCCAGCACCCACTCGAGCGGCTCGAGTTGCTGCGCCTTTGGGTTAATATGGAACTCGCGATTTAACACACGCACGAGCTTCTTCACAATGTGTTTGTGGGTGAAGACTGCAAAGTCCTCTGGCGTCCACACATCTCGCCACGGAAGCAGGACACCAAATATGGACGTGTCGTTCGGGTGCCAGTTGATCAGTGTCCGGGCAAGTGTTTCTCGAATAACGGGGTAGACGTCGTCTGCAAAATTCGCTTCAAAGTGAACGCGCCATGGTAGCAGCCAGTCGTGGATGCGTTCGACGTCGACGACGCTGTGGCATTCGCGCACGGCGTGCTGAAGCCTCGGCAGGACGTGGCTGGTCAAAACCAATTGGACATGCGACGATGCAACAAACGTTTGCAAGAACTCAATCAAGTCCAAGCACGGCGACGCAACGTCCCATCGATGCAGCGCCGACACCAGTCGCGGAAACAGAACCTGCGTCACGAGGTAGTCGTAAATCTTGTCGTGGCGAGTGGCCGACCCGACGTTTGTCGCAAACACGCTCACTTCGTTGGTGTTGAGCGGGGCGACGCACGTAACGAGACACTCGTGCACCATGCGAAAGACGCCGCGCAGGTCCATCGCATTGTCATCGACTTTGAGAGGATGCCACGATGCCGCCATCGCCTTGAGTAGCGGCAGCCCGAGCGACGGCACGACGTCGATCACGTTGTGCGTCTCGAATTCCGCTGGGTACTTTGTCCGGAGTGTGACGGTCATGTTCACAATGGCCTCGATAGCCCCGATGGCGGTGACCTCTGGCAACGTCGATTGCAGCTGCTGCAACCCAGCCACGACCGCCGCGAGATTGTCCGTGGCGACTTGGTTGACACGAAGTTTACCCGCATCCACGGCCTGCGCGTCACGAAGCGCTTGCAACCTCGCGCGATCCACCGATATTTTGGCATGAAGCGCCCGGATCGATCCCTCCGTCTCGTTCACGATATGCCGCACGTTGTGCAATATCTCCTGGCCCAACAGCGGCACTAATGGTTGCACGGCGGCGGACGGCAACGACCCCATGCCATCTGTGTATACTTGCGTCAAGGGGCCGCGCATGTCAACGACGAGATCGATGGCAGTTTTCTCCTCTTCCAGCACATCTTCGACAGTCTTGTGTTTTCGTTTCCTTGATGTCGTCGTTGTAGTTGCGCCGGGGATTCGCTTTCGCCATGCTCCATCGTCTGGGGACGGGTCCGTGGAATCGTCGTCTACGTCGTCGTCACGTTTCCCGTGCAAGTCACGCTCGATTTCTTTGTTTTGCTTGAGGGTCGCGGCTTCCTGGAAGCCACCATATCCGAGACCCCGCTGATTCGGTCGCGCTTTCACGGCGACAGGTGCTGCCACACCCTGCTCATCTTTTCCCAATCGACCTTTGAACCCCATCTTTTCCAGCATCTTCATCCCAAAGCCCTTGGTGTGCTTCTGCCATGCTCCCATTTTCTTAATGTCAGGAACTGGTAGCACTGGTTTCACGCTGCGGTCCGCAACTACAGGAGGTGCTTCGGATGTCGACGCGTTCAATGGCTTCACATCATCGAGCACTTCTTCGTGCGCAACCTCCACGGGAACGCTGAGCATCTGGGCGAACTCGCTGTTGGAGAATCCAAGGCCGTCCATGCTTCGTCCCGTTCGTCCACGCTCCTTCTTCCCACGAATTGGCACATCCAAATAGATGAAGAATAAATGATTGAAGTATCTTGTAATATTAAATAGTTCTGGCAAGTCTGGAAATTGGCCTTTTTGCGAATATATTTGCCAAAACACGGATTTTAAACAAAAATTGAACTCTGGTATTTCAATTCACAACGCCAGTGATCATCTTGTTACAAGAACTTGTCTCAGTAACGAGTTCGTTGAAGCTGGAGATTTGGTTGGTTTAACGTTTCATTTCAAGTCGGAAACACAACAACCATCATGGCACGGAAGCGAAAGTTGCAGACGAAAGCGCAGCGCATCAAGGAGGTCGGCGCAGAGATCGAGGCGTTCATTGAGGAACAGGGAGAAGCTACTAAGCTCCAGAACTATGGAGACGAGCATCTGTTCGCGATAGATACGGCTGGGACCACGAGCAAGAAGGCCAAGATCACCAAGGACCCGGCAGTTTGGTCCGGCAAATTTAAACCGGAGAAGGCCAAAGGCTTGAAGTCTGCGATCAAACGAATTCAAGCCAAGCCAGTGGTTGTCGTAAGTTGTCTGCAACTGGCCTTCGAGTACTCGTGGGCTTACCGTCTCCCTTCGTTAGACCAAACCCAAGAAAACCCCCGTGCTGGAAGCATTGTGGGACGCTGAAGGCCATGCTGCCACGCCTGCGTGGACCAAAGATGTTGACGAGTATGTGGCTCCTGCCATCATCAAAAAGAAGGCGGTACGAAAGACTTGGCCACGAGGTCGAAGGACGCGCTGATCGTGCATGCGTAGCCGCTGAGCAATGCGCCGTCTACCAAGCACAAGGTGAAGGCCGTCGAAGTGGCTGTGGACGGACAGTCGTATCACCCTGAAGCCGCCGCACATCAAGCCGTGTTGGCGCAAGCACAAGCGAAAATTGAGGCCAAGCAAAAGCAGCGCGAATTGGACCGGGCTCCTCTCGCCACCGGCATCTCGAATGACTACATCATGGAATCCTCGGTTCGTAGGACTTGTGCTGTCCGATTTTGTTGCATGGCTGACCCTTCCGCAGGACGACGAAGACGGCGAAGACGACGAGACCAAGGACAACGAGGACAAGCCCAAGCTCAAAGCAAAAGAAAAACTCACGCGCAGCGACCGCAACCGACAAGCACGACACAAAGCGTTGGAAAAGCAGCTCGAACACCAGCGCGCCAACAAGAAGCTGCTCAAGCAAATCAACAAGTACGCCGCGGGTTACCGTTCCTGATGTTTGACGGTGTCACAACTCTAACTTGTGCGGGACACAGCGTCAAGACTTTGGAGTCGAGTGTGAAAAAAGACGAAAAAGTGTCGGCGAATAAGCAGCAGCTGAAGACGCTCCTCAAGAAGCAGAAACTCGAGGAAGAGCCGGAAGTCATGATTGCCGGCAAGAAGCGGTGCGATCCATCGAAATTGCTAGTGTCTGTCGTTTTATCCTGACGCGTGCATGTCCAATGTCGAGTAGAAAGGTCGAACGACCGACGTTGGTTGCGGCGCCGTCCGAACTCAGCGGCAACGTCCGTTCGCTCAAGGTTTGAAGCGTCTTGAAAGGGAAGGGCTTACACGTGAATGATCTGCATAGCCCAAGGGATCGGCCATGAAGGACCGATACGACAGTTTACTCAAGCGGAACAAGATCGAAATCGGCAAAACGACGCGCAACAAGTCCAAGTGGACCAAGTTTATTCCTCGACACAAGTACAAGGACGATTTCTCTGTGTAAATCCGTCGCCGCGACAACAATGCGAGCGCATGTGCTAGATAGACTGACTCGGAATATATCAAACCAATTGTGCAAGATGCTGCTGACACTTGCGCTCCGTGGCACTCGATGCTCGGTGGGTGGTATTTTTAGCTGTGCCACGCGCATCGGGAGTTGGCCCTCGTTGCAACAAAACGTCGTCGAGCGAGCCATGGCGAAGAAGCAGGTGCCGAAACGGGTACACCGCGCGCCCTCCTCGACGACGAGATGCCAACACGTACTTTTTATAGACCTTTACCCACCGCCATGCCCCCAAGACGGTCGAGATCAGCTACGAAGAGTACTCGCACAACAAGAACGAAATCCTTGGGAAAATCTACCGCCGGTACGTCCTGCCGCTCGGCTATCGTCCCTGACGACGGTTCGATAATGCAGATTGTTTTGGCTCGCGTGCGTCGCGACGGCATGTGGGCTAATTGAACTCGTCGTGTACATTGTACGTCCATCTCGAGAGCGTGTGGGTGTCATTGGACTGGACAGGTCATCACGACCAAGTACCCGACGACGCTCGAGTTTCGCCGCCCCGTCTTGGGCGTCGCTCTCAAGTCGGTCTACTTGATTTACTGGGGCATGTCGTCGGTTCGTCGTAGCTCGCACAATTCGATCGCCGTTCATCGTGGAGTTTTTCAGGTCGTGTGCGCCCATGGATACCATCTGCACCTCAAGTGGCGGCATTTTCTCGAGGACGGCACACACTTGGTGATGCACTGTCGGTTGTTTGAAGTGCTCGGCCTCGGCTGGTTCTTCACAGGTATCGAGTGTGGGCGAGAACAAGGCGGTGCACGCTTGACGCCGCTGACAGACAGTTCTTCTTGCGCCATGTAGCGTCATGGCTCTTGGGGGGAATTTTCCATTCGTTTGGGTTCATCGACATTAGCATCATCGGTGCAAACATGCTCAACATCCTGTACGCCATCGCCATTGCCACGCTGTTGGTACGACCCCCCGTCATCTCCCCCACCTCGTTTCGCGCTTGTCATTGTCACGCCTTCGTCGTGTCCGTAGCTTCAGTTTGTGTTGTGTCCGTGGTTCTTCAAGACGATTCACAGCAAAACGACGCAGATCGACGATATCTACTGGTGCGTCGTTGCTGGGCAAGGTCTGTCGATTGTGCTGATGTGCCTCGCCTTGGCGGCATCGCAGTGCGGAGTTCTTGGGCAAGACTAAAATCAAACACGTCAACGTCGAGCCCTTGACCGACCTCAACGACATCCCCTCGGACAACGAGCACGACGTAAATGACATCCACGTTAGCGATTCGTCCTCTGACGGCGAGGCCAGCCACCGACACGTCCGTCCCAATATGTTAGCGGCCCCTTCAACGTCGTTCTGACAAGGATGACGTGCATAGGACAATTCCAACCATGCGGACGACAACACTGGCCCGACGACCGCCTCTCCTCCCGCCGCGGCGTTTTCGATCGACACGAAGAAGACGCTCCAAAAGAGTGCCTTTTGGGAAGCGTGGAAGTCGACGGACGTCGCGTACGTGTGTCGCTGTCATTCGCGGGCAACTGAGGGTGCGACCCGTGATTCTAGCGGATCCTTTTCTTGTACGTTCAAAAACAAACCGCCGACGTTGGTGCAAGTGACAAAGCACTTGAACGCGAATGGGTTTCACGTTGTGTCGAGCAACTCGAGCAACGACGTGGTCGAAGTGTTTTTGTACGCCCACCAAACGACGTCGACGGTCCCGTTCCTCGCCGAGTTTATCTTTGTCTTTCCTCGTCGGTTCTTCCAAACGACGTTCAAGTGCGAGGTGCGTTCGAAGCACTCGTTGGAGGGGGACCACCAACGATTGTGCACGTAGACCAAAGACATGGCAGGGGAATTCGTCAAGCGATTTCAACTCCATCAACTCATGGACACCGACGACTAGGGCGGCGCCGCCCACCCGTCCCTGCCAGCCATGAATCGCTGTCGATAGCACGCCATCTTTATCTATCAAGCTTGAATGCACATTGCGCATGTCGATGGAGGGTGATGGCACGAGAGGTACCGTCATGGATTCCATGCACGATGTTGCGATGGACGTCGCAGAGGTTGGCTACATTCCTGGCTGACGCACAGACACACATCACCACTCGAGATTGCAGCGTCAATCGTGCTTACGAAAGCCTACCGATGAGTCGTTGGATAGGGAGCAAATGCTGCTACAGCTTTGACGTGTGCTAGAGATGCTGCTGTGATGGACATTCACGGGGTGTTGAAGTGCTGGTGTCGCATGTTGCAACACTTGGTGGAGGTCACGGCAGAGGCTGTCAAGCACATCGCCTTGCACCTTACACAGTGAAGTCGAGCATGGTCACTGTCAACACCCAAACGTCAAGGCGTCCCTCACATTTAAGCGATGCGAATCGTTGTCGACGAGGGGCACGCAAGGCGACGTGTACGCATGCACAACCTTCGGATCGCTGGCTGTCGAATGCGGTGGAGTCGCCACGTCGTGATATCCAAGCAGAGAATCTCGCCGCGCGGGACGACAGCACGCCCGTTAAGAAAAGCACTGGCCAAGTCCAAGGACACGACGTCGTCGACCGCCGACGCGCCCGACTGAAAGCGATCGCGAGAACAGGAGTGGCGGTGGCAACTCTGGCAGCCTGGGTCGCCGCCGTTCCTCGAGACGGACGTAATTCACGACGTTGGCAACGTTATCGACCACAATAGCAATGAATTGGAACGGGTAGCCGACGCGGATGGACTCCGATCTTACATACGGACTACCACGCATTGTGCTCAAGCCGGGCCAGTCGCTTCAAAGCACGAGGTGCTGAGGAGACACATGGCCAAGGAGGCGCAAGAGCGACCGATCCACTCGGACAACGTCCGCCACACGGCTGAGTTCGAACACGTTGAGTGGCTCGATTACTCCAAGAGTGCCAATCACCATCACCGCACGAAGACAGTACGTCGTCGTCGCGACGCGCTTGAAAAACAACGAGTTGTGGTGGGGCAGTTCAGCCGCGTCGACCTTGTACTGATTGGCCTTTGTCGGCCAACTGCACGGTGGCAGCACTGCGATCGCCACCACCTCACGGTCCCGAATGCATGTACCCTACTCCAACAAAGTGCCTGCCGTCCGTTGGGGCGATGCCAGGACGGTCGCCATGGCGTACTCATCGCTGTCGACCTTGATAGAGGACGTGCCGCGAACTTCCATTAGCTGCGACTGTGCAGCTCCCGATGTTCTCGTCCATCGCTTCGTTCGGTCCGAGCTCAACTGAATCGATGGGCAAATCAAACAAATCATCTCTCGATGTCTTTGCCGCAGGGAATCAGAGTGACATGGCCAGCGCCGAGGGGTACGTGGACTTCCGCTGGTACATGTAGTTCCAAAGCACATGACGGCCACGGCAAGCGCTCATTAGCAAAGCAATCTTGTTGTTCTTGGTTGTGGTAAAACACGAAATCCAACAGGACAGCACCGAAAAACACGAGCAAGTTGCTTGCACAAAGCACTGGTCGGCGACGACATACGCGCTACTGATCTAGGAGCGACAGCAGAAGCAACAACGCATGCGCGATCGCGTGCAGCGAGTTGAGGACGTTCATGACGCACCATTGCAACGGCGCGTCAAACCCATCCCAGAAAATGGTGTCGGATGCATGGCGACACACTGGATCGAACACAGCATTGAGCAGCGATTCGATCCTGATTGTACTGGAGTCTCTCGTAAAACTGGTCGATGATGGAGCCGACTGCGGGCCAAGCGGGATGACCCCATGCATCACCCAACGAAAAGCTTGTCGGAGCAGTGGCTCCTCGTGTGATGGGCTCCAAGCCACAGTTGTGCAATCGAGGCAAATGGACGCCATGACGAAGGTGGCGGGAACGTGCGGACAACGGGACAACCGTCCGCATTGACGCATGGACCTGCCTGACACAATGCACAACTGCTGGTCAAAGAAGCAAGAGATCCTTCGTCGCGATTAAATTTGGTCGAGTGGGCTAATCCCCAACAACTTGAAGCACGTGTGCATGATCTTGAGCGTGGCTTGGCACAGCAGCAATCGACTGTTTTGCTCGGGGCTGCCCAGGACACGGCATTGCGTCACAAACACTTGGACCTTCTCCGACAACGTGTACAAGTACGTGCAGAGCCAGTTGGTCGCAAGCTCCTTGTTGATAAAGACGAGGACGTCCTGGAGTTGCAGCAGCTCAACAGCGAGCGCGGCTTCGTTGGGGTCGGTGACTTTGACCACGCCCGACTGCTTGGACAGTACGTCCATGTCGACTCCGCTCTTGCGCACGATCGACGACAGACGCGCGTACGCAAACATGAGGTACACGGCCGTGTTGCCGTTCGTGGACAGCATCTTGTCGTAATTGAACACGTAGTTGGACTGAGGCGATCGCATCAAGTCAAAGTACTTGACGGCACCGTACCCGATCAACTCGGCAGCGTGGTCAACGTCAGCTTCCGGCAGCGTCGTTTGGCCTGCGGCAATGCGTTCCTGCAGCGACACCTTCATGCGCGCCTTGGACTCGTCGAGGAGGTCCACAAGGCGCACAGTCTCGCCCGACCGCGTCTTGAACCGTTTGCCCGACTCGTCGTTGACCGTGCCGAACCCAATGTGGTTGACGCGGTGCTTGGCCGGGTCCAGGATCTTGGCCATCGCGCCAACTTCAAACAACAGACCAAAGTGGTCTTGCTGCGTGTAGTCCGTGTAAATGATGATCCAGTCCGCTTTGAGCTCGTGGAGGCGATACCACAACGCGGCAATGTCGGTGGTGTCGTACAAGTACGACCCGTCCGACTTGACCAGCATGAACGGTTGCTTGTACTTGGACGTGAACACGACCTTGGCGCCGTCGCTGTCTTGCGTGATCCCTTGCGCCTCGACCATTTCAATCACACGGGGGATGATGGGGTTGTAGAACGACTCGCCCATCTCGTCCAAGCGGACGTCGAGGCGGTCGTATACCTTTTGGTACTCCTTGCGACTGACTTCGCACAGAATCCTCCACGCTTCGAGCGAGTCGGCGTCGCCCGCTTGCAACTTGACCACACCGTCCTTGGACCGCTTGTGGAAGTCTTCGTCTTCGTCGAAGCGTTGCTTGGCATTCTTGTACAGCTGCGTCAGGTTGGTGATGTCTGGCATTTCGTCCTTCCACGTCGGGAACGCTTCCGTCAAGTGCGTGATCAACATCCCAAACTGCGTGCCCCAGTCGCCGACGTGGTTGATGCGCAACACTTCGTGGCCTTGGAACTCGAGGATGCGGCACATCGCGTCGCCGATAATGGTGGACCGAAGGTGGCCCACGTGCATGTCCTTGGCCGTATTGGGCGAGCTAAAGTCGACCACGACCTTTTGTTTCTTGATCGGCGACGCTTGCACGCCTTGTTGCAAGAGCAATTCCAATCGATTCGCGACAAACGGCGCGGTCAAAAACGCATTGATGAAGCCAGGACCAGCGACAGAAAGCTTTTCGATGACGGGATTGGTCGGCATCGCGGCAATGATGGCGAGGGCCACGTCGCGGGGGGACCCGGGGGCATTCGGGGACCCTTTCAGCGCCGTAAAGATCGACATGCTCGACGTACACTGGTAGTCGCCAAACTTGGGCATTTTCGTACGAGACACTTCAACCTTGAACTGCAGGCGATCCAACATACCAGGAAACGCCGTGTCGACTGCTTCGACAAACAGAGCTTCAATCAAGCCCAAGACATGGTCGTACGTTTTCCCGAGCAACTGCGCGTCCGTCGCTAGGCTCTTCTTCGTCGGCGCCTGAGGCGAAGTAGACGCGGCAGCCACAGGAATGACAGCCGTCACGGCGGATGCAAACGCGGGGCGGGCAAAGAGCGCCGCCACGTACGCACGAGCGGTGGCCAACGGGTACGACGCTTGGGGCAACCATTCGAGCGACTTGCGCAATGCGACTCCGACAACGACATCCGCCAACGTCAACGAGTTGCCCACGGCGAATGTCGCCGACTTGATCTTGGTTTCGATGAGGGTTGACAGGGCCGTTTTGTCCAACGTGACTCGCAAGACGTACTTTTCCCATTCAAGCCACTCGTCGACAGCCAAATCGTCGGCGGCCAGCGCGCCCGCCGCAAACGCAACGTATCGGGCAATGACGTTTGCGCCGGACAGCGTTGTGGCGGGCTGCGTGGTCGTTGCTGGGATCGTGAGGTGGGCCGTCGAGCTGTTGACTTTGAGCGTGAACGGGGTCTGGGTTTCGTTCAGGGCGATGACACATTTGAGGGCGTCGTAGCCGTGAGCTGCCAGGACAAGAGGTTGCGGTGCAGCGGCCATTGTGATCTCAACTTTGTCTGGTCGCTTTCTCTTCACGTTGGTGGTGGGCTTTGTTCGTGGCCAAGCAATGACCGGGAAAGCCAATCGGCTCCACAAGAAGATGCCCAAGGATAACCTTGTGGGATATACGTTGCCGCGGGATTAACCCAAGGGCAGTTTGGGTAACGTCCCCACAGTCCAAACGTAGTGATGCACACACTTCGTCTGAGCTTCCAGCGTTCACAGATCATAGCTTGCCATACCTCGTTCGAAAACGTCGGTAGGACTAAATAGCGCTGGAAATCCCAATGTGGAGTGGATGCTGTCGATGTTGTTCCGCAGCTTCGGGGAGGCAGTGGTGATGGGGACAAACTGGGCAAATCCGAGGAACCTCTGAAATATAATATTGCACGGCCGGCTTGGGTCAAATAGTGGGGCTGAATTATCTTGCCTTATCTATTTTGACTGGGATCTTCGTGCCTGTTCGAAGATATTGCAAGATCCAAGCACCATCAAAACCGTGCGATCGCAGGATGCCGCGACTACGTTGGACGTGGACGGCCATGCTTGAGCTGCTTTGTTGGAGTATGATCCTCTTGCTCCCAACATGGGCCAAGAGCACCTTGCCAGGTCGGTTCTGGACGTGCACACATCACCTCACTAGTCCGACTTGCTCCAGTGTCTCGCAAGGAAGGGATTTCAACCGGACAAGTGGACGCGTTACAAGGACACCCCGGCGCGCTGACACTCTCTTACTTTTTGACGGGACCAGGAGATTTACACTATGCAATTGTACCCCACGGCCATAACTCGCTTGAAGCCGATGCAATCAAGCGAGCCGCCCTTGCTACACCATCAATGGCCACCGCTGGGACGTTCACGTCGACGGCTGCCACCAGACTCGCATGGAATGTCCTCACCTTGGAGGCAAATTCGACGTACGATGTCTACTTTGTCGCGGAAGCCAGCAACAGCAACGGGGTCTTTGGGACGGTACGGCTTGGTTGTCGGCGTCTTGTCCTGTACCGTGTGTCCTGACCAGCGCTAGGTCGTGTCGGTCAACGGTACAACCACCCACGCGCATGCGCCTACGCTGACGCTCCAGCACAGCGAACCCATTCGAGCTTCGTCGTCGAGCGCCGCATTCAAGGTCAACATGAGTTCCCCGGGGTTGCTGCACTACCTTGTGGTGCCGACTGCTGGGAGCCGCAACATGTCCGCGTCAGAAATCTGGTCGAGCAATCAGTCGCTGTCTCTTTTAGTCCCATCCACAGACGCTGTCGTCGTCAACGTCACGGAATTGAACGCGTTCACAACGTACGACGTGTGGTTGACAACGGAGGTAAGAGGGAGTGACGGGGTGCTGGGGGCGGTCGTCCACGCTGCCGAGGCATTCACGACCCATGCGGTCGCGCCAGACGTAGTGCATGTGGGATGCGTACCTCGGGGCGGAACGACGAGCGAACTTCTCGTTGGGTTGCGTCTCCAATTCGCACCGAATGCGTTTGCCAGCGTGTACAACACCGCTGTCGTTCGTGCTGTGGAGTATTCGATCTGGTTTGTCGCGGATGCAGCATCGCCACCGAGTGCGTACGACACCGCGTGGACCATCCAAAACGCCTCCAACACGACCACTCGACAAGCAGGGCAATGGCGCCTCGCAATTCCTGCCCAAGCAACCAACGACGTGTTCAACATTGCAGCCACAGACACCACGGTGGATTTGCATGCGAACATCAGTCAGTTGCATGACGGGGCAAACTACACGGTTGCCGTCGTGGTGGAAACCAAAGGCAGCCGGGGGTTGTTTGGCGGTGTCTTTGGTATCTCTGGATGCGGCACCCATCCGATGCCACCGAAAGTCACATCCGTTCAAGCGAGTGCGCTGGCCACGACCACGGACACTGCCGTGATGCAAGTCGGTGTGGAAGCTCCAGCAAACATCCACTTTGTCCTTGGAACCCCCGCTGTCTTCCGTCAGGTGCCGCAGCCATACTCGCTGACCTTGTTGTCCACGACGTACAATGCGTCATTTCATCGAATCGATGCTGTCCCCAGAGTGCACAACGCGACAAACGTGACGCTCACAGCGTTGAATGCGTCCACGATTTACGCCGTCGCGGTCTTTGCCGAAACCATCGACAGCTTTGGAGTGTACGGGGCGCTGTCCATCCCCATCACCGAGTTTCGGACGAACGACCCGGCCGGACACGTGGCCATTGTCGAAGCGACACCAGTCCAGGGGTCCACCACCGACATCGCCGTCAAGGTTCAGCTCACGCAGCCGCAGAATCACGTCGCATTGTGTTGGAAACCCGCGGCACCTGTGGCCTTCAAGTGCGTGAACCATACAGGGAGCGTCGTGGTGAGCAACTTTACACCTGGCTCGACGTACGAGCTGTACGCTGTAGCATTGACTTTGCAGCAAGTCCAAAGTGTACCAAGTGCCCTTGTCACAGTGACCACTCATGCCCCAGCACCACTCGTGAACGTCGTCACGCTTGACAGAATCGACGGCCGCTACGACCAGCTCGTGGCGAAATTTGCAACGTCAACGTCCGGGTGGCTGCACGCTGCACTGTTCACGTCGGATGTGTTGGAAGGCAAGCCAAATCTTACGATTCACGAGCTTGTTCGTCGGCAGGTGCCAGCCCACTATCAAAGTGCTGTCCAAATGGATGGCAGCATGACACCGACGGAAGTGATTCTGGACAAACTGGCGGCCAACACAACCTACGCCCTTGCGGTGTTTGCCGAAAGCGAGTCGGCAACCAACGACACGAGGTCGCATGTGTACGGCGATTTGCATCTTGTGAACGTCACGACGTACAAGTTGGCGCCGACGATTTTGCAGTCGGCTGCTCTTCCTCACAACGCCTCCACGGACGCCATCTTGCTCGTGGCCAATCTTTCGTCGCCAGGACGACTGCATTACATGATTACAGACACAGACTTGCACGACCCCAAGGTACTCAAGCAGCCCCTCCATCCACCGAGCCGCGCGGCAGCTGTTGTACGCCGGGGAGTTGTCGATGTCACTGAACAAGTGTGGACGACGGCGAATGAAACCCGCCATGGCGTCAACGTCACGATTGACGTCGCGCTGCCTATTTTTCATGCCAACTACACGATCTCTGGATTAGTGCCAGACACCATGTACCACATATTCCTGACGACGGAAACGTTTGAGAGTCAGGGGGTGTTTGGCGCCCTGATCGCGCCGCACTTGGCGACCACACATGCCCCGCCTCCGACATTTACATCCCTTAACGTCGTGCCTACGCCTGGAAACCCCAATTCCATTTCACTCAACCTGACCTTGTCACGGTATGGCCTTGTGCATTACCTTGTCATGCTTCGAGGCCTGCCAAACCCAAATGCAACTGCCGCGGTTGACGCACGTCCGTTTGGAGCTTCGTCGAACGATACGAACGTGGTCGAGGTATCTGAACTGGACTCGACCACGCTCACTGGGGGTCGCATACAGCGTGCGTCCCTGGAGGAGCTTGGCGCGGGGGTCGTTCACAATGGATCAATTCCAATCTCTCGGGAAGACTGGGCCAAAGTGGACACACCAACGCACAAAGCGTTCGGCGACCTCGTATCAGGGGCAACGTACGAGTTGTGCATCGTTGCCGAGACCGACGCTAGCAATGGCGTGTTTGGTCCAGTCAAGTGCTTTGCCGTGACCACGTTTGTCGATTACTCGAATGCCACTGTCTTGATCGACATGAAATCGGCAGAGCCGGTGCCAGGACGAACGGATCAAGTCGAAGTGGTGTGGCGGAAGCTGTCTGGGGCGGACGTCGTCCCGTATTTTGTTCTCGCTGAAGGCGGACATACCACGTTTTCCTCTAGCGGCTTTGGCAGGACTCGATTTTCGGAGATCCAACCAGGCCAGCATGGAGTTGTGGCAGCGGGCCGGCTGCCTCACGTCAAGGGAAGTCCTGACACGTATCGAATCGTCGTGGGTGACTTGGACGCCAACACAGCGTACTCGTGCTACTTTTCAGGAGAGACGGTCGGATCGTTTGGGGTGTTTTCGCTCGTAAACACCTCGTACCCAGTGACGACGCATGCGCCTCCGCCAGTCCTGACAAGCTACTATGCGCGACCAGCCACGGGAAACACGTCTGGCATCGAAGTCGTTGTGGACGTGGGATGCCCCAAGCACGTCCATTGTAAAGACGCGTGGGTGCATGTCTTGATTGCCTCCGCGGACTGTCCGCGCCGTCCAACGGCCCCGTTTTACCTGGCGCACAAATGCGCCTTAACGTGTGCAATGCACAATGTGTCGATTCCGGGGGGGACTGTAGCCAAGCAGCACGTCGTGTTCGTGGAAGATGCAAAGGTGCTGGCTCCAAACACAACCTACACCGTGTACCTTGCGACGGAAACGCCCCACAGCCACGGCGTGTTCTCGGCCATCAAGTCGACGGTCGTGACAACGCACGCGTCGCCGCCAACCTTTGTCGATCTCAGCGTCCACCCGAAATACGCCTCAACGACCGAACTCGTGCTGAGCTACGAGCTGTCGACGCCGGGGGTGGTCCACTTTCTCATTGGGGAAGATTCCAAACACATTGACGTCCAGTCTGTGTACAACATCAGTGCCCGCAAGGCGGCCGGAGGAGAAGACTGGCACAAGTACCCGCCACACACTATAGCGTATCGAAAAACGCTGACCGTTCCCACGACGACCCCCCGCACCGAGACGCTGGGATACTTGACGGCAAACACGAGCTACACCGTTTGGGTTGTCGCTGAGACCGCCGCGGATGCCAACCTGTACACGTCGATTGCCGTGTTCTCGAACGTGTCAACGTTTGCGCCGGCCCCGCTCCTGCTGTCGCACGCTGCGTCGCCCACGCCAGGTTCGACGACCCACTTGCGTTTGGAATACACGACAAACGATCCGACGGGAGTCGTCCACTGCCTCGTTGCAGCGTCCACGCCGTGGAAGCCGACGCTCGCTGGTCCGATTTTATTTGGCAACCGCATCGGGTACCACACTGACGTCGTAGCCCAAGTGTCGCTGGTCAATGAAAGCAGCGTCGTCGACATTCCAGTCCCATTTGCCAACACAAACTACACATTCTACTTGGTGACGGAGACGAAAGATTCGAACGGAGTGTTTGGAGCTGTGGCTGTGCTGGAGAACATCAAGTCGTCTGCACCAGCTCCTGACATCGTGGACGTTCGAATTTCTGCCACCGATGCCAGAACCGACGCCTTGACGGTAAATGTCCAGCTCAGCCGCGAGGGGACGCTCTATTATTCCGTCGCACAAGCTAGTCAGCCCTTGACTGTGTCCAAGCCGCCGCCATTCATCGTTGCAAACTCGACAAACGTGTCGTTTGTCGTGAGTGAACTTGATGCATCCACTTGGTACACCTTGTACTTACAAACGGAAACCCTGGGCAGCGGTGGCGTCGTGGGGCCGTTGGTTCAAGCAGCCAGTCCGGTCCCAACTCATGGCCCACCGCCTGTGGTTCTGGAAGAAGTGGATTGCTCGGGCGCACCAAATTGCGATGCCCTTGGTCGCGAGCCGGTATCAAAGACCTTTTTGTTGTGTGCATGCCAAACAAGATTGTGTGTAGTGTTGGTTTGTCTCGAACACGTGCGGGGAGTGCCGTGCGGGATTTGCGGGTGAAGAAACAGGACCGTCGAATGTGCCGTGCGTGGCGGGAACCAAGAAAAAAGGTTGGTTTGCAATCTACCAGAGAGTGCTTGGACGAAAACGACGACTTAGGCAAGAAGACGATCGGGATCAAGATCAGCGGGGTCAAGCAGCCATCGCAGCAATCTGTGGCCGAATTCGAAGTTCAAGCGAGTGCCAACGCGGTCGACGTGTGCCCGGAACATGCCCACATGTCCGTCGAAACGAGTCGTTGCGAATGCATCGATGGCTACACGATGGACAACCATGTGTGCATTCCGTTGTGCCCACCCAACTCGTCCATGTCTGCGCCTGGCCGGTGCCAATGCGACCCTGGATACGTCTTGGATGCGCTCCAAACGTCGTGCGTCCTGCAAGTCACAGGCAGCAGCAGCGGACTCGGCAGCGGTGGCGTGTACACGTCGACTTAAGTTGAAGCGATCTTTCTCCAAACGAACACGAACCGTTTCATGTCGGTGTCCTTTCGTGATCGGTTACATCAGACAAGACAGTCGAGGGAAACTCAGCATGGCGGAGGCGGCGCCGGTGGAGGCGGCAACGGACCGCGAGGAGGCGCAGTTGCCGCCGCCCCCGCTGCACAAGTTCGATCCGAGGAACTTTTCGCTCAGTCGTGTGCTGTACAACATAGACACGTTCATCTCGACCAAGAAAGGACAAACAGCGATGCTGGTCGGGTTTGGGTTGTTCCTCATGATCTTTTGCGGGCTCTTCTACTCGCTCATCCCACGGGGAGTGATCGCTGGCAAGCACGTGGCACAAACGACTTCGATTGAAGGGGATATGGCGAACATATCGCTTGCTATATGGACGGACGGGAACGCGACAGCTGCCCCCACAACGACGGACGTTCCGAGTCAATACACGTCCATCATCGAGAGCATCTGGGCATGTTGGCTCTTCATTGCAGACCCTGGGGCCCAGAACGAACTGCACGAGTGGGTACGTTCCCAGCGGTCCCTGGGTTTCAACTGCGCACGCTGACATCGCCCGTGTGGAATGCTAGAACAAGCGCGTGTTTGCATTCTTCGTCAGTTTGATCGGGATGGTCTACTTTTTTGTCATCATGGGCTTTGTCGTCGACTCGATTCGCGACAAGATGGAAGATCTGAAGAAAGGGCGAAGCAACGTGATTGAAAAGAACCACTCGGTACGGCTGCCCCGACAACCACGTGGATGGCTCATCGTTGCTTGGCATGCGCACGGTAGCTGCTCCTCGGGTGGTCGGACAAATCCGTGTCCCTCGTCAAGCAATTGTGCCTGGCCAACGAAAGCGAAGGTGGCGGTGTCGTCGTCGTCCTCGCTGAGATCGAGAAAGAGCGCATCGAAGCTGAACTCGAGTCGCAAATGGAACCGCACGAGTACCACGGGACCAAGGTCGTCGTGCGGTCGGGCAGCCCGCTGATCACGAACGATCTGAAAAAAGTGTCGGCCCACACCGCACGCAGCATCACGATCATGGCGACCTCGATCGACGCGGACAAATCCGATGCGTCCTGTCTGCGCGTCATCTTGAGTTTGCGCGGGCTCTTCAAGGTGCACCACGTCACGTCGACTGTACAACCTGCCAACCTATCTTGCTGTAGCTGCAAGGGCACGTCGTCGCCGAAATCCGAGACATTGACAACGAGCCTCTCGTGCACCTTGTGGGCGGTACGATCGTCGAGACCCTTGTGTCCCACGATATCATCGGTCGCCTCATTTTGCTGTCCGCTCGATCTCCTGGGCTCTCTCGGGGTAACGTTGGCATCACTGCTCGAAAAGTTGTGGCACTCACGGTGGACGTCCAGTCTACAATTCTGTGCTCGGGTTCGATGGAGATGAGTTTTACACCCAAGCGTGGCCCGAAGTTGTGGGGGTGCAATTTGGTGAGCTGATCGCCCGGTTCCCCGCGGCGACTCCCATCGGCGTCAAGACGACCGCAGGCAAGATCGTGATCAAGCCATCCATGACGTACAAAATCGAAGACGGAGATGAAATCATTGTGTTGGCCGAAGACAATGACACGTACAAGCCGGAGCCGCCTGCAGTCGTGCTGCCCGTACCCATTCCAGTTATCCCTGCCAAGGAAAAAGCAAAGGAAAAGATTCTTGTGTGCGGGTGGCGCCGAGACATTCAAGACATGCTGGTGCTCCTCGACAGCTTTGTCGAACGGGGCAGCGAGGTCCACTTGCTCAACGAACTCACGGTAGCTGAACCAATCGTCCCTGGAACAAGCTGCGGTTCTCACGTGGGCGATAGATGGCGGAGCGCGACACATTCTTGTCCCTGAGTGGCGTCGACATGTCGAGTTTGGAAAACTGCGAATTTCTCCACTTTGTCGGCAATACGTCTGTCCGGCGGTACTTGGAGCCGCTGCCCCTTGAAATGTACACGTCGATCATGGTTCTATGCGATTTCCAGCGCGAGCTCGACATTTTGAACTCGGACTCGCATTCGCTCGCGACGGTATGAGGCATTGAATTCGTGTGAGGAGATTGCATCGCCCGCGGCGTGGTCGTTTTAGGTGCTGTTGGTGCGCAACATGCAGAAGAATCGACGCGATGTGGTCAAAGAGTCGCTGTTTGCCCCTCGTGTGTGCGAAGCCATCGACCGATGGACACGCCATGCCAGCAACAAGTGTCCGTGCATTACCGAGATCCTCGACCCCCGCACGCAAAAGACGGTTGTTGCCAACTCGAGCATCGCCGGCCATTCGGACTTTGTCATGTCAAACGAACTCATCTCGTGCATGTTGGCCATGATCTCGGAGTCGCGAGAAGTCAAGCAAATTTTGTCCAAGTTGCTGTCACCCAAGTCCAACACGTTCACGGTGCAGCTGTCGTCGCGGTATTGTACACCCCACGAAGAATTGTCGTACTTTCAACTGGCTGAACGGCTGGTCAAGTCGAACGAGCTCCTCGTTGGCTACATCTCTAAGCATGGTGTGTGGCCTCTTTCTCCTGGTCGAACGTTCTGCTGATCGCGACGATATGCAGACAAAAATGCCCCTGCCGTCCTCAACCCCAAGAACAAGGCTGCGCCAGTCCTCTGGCGCAACTACGACCTCATTGTCATCACGGGCGGGTCGGCAATCGACGACAGACACGTCGACGTCAAGCGAGCTGTCGTCGAATCGATCGAGGCTACTCAGCGAAAGAATATGCAAGGGGACGAGACGAAGCGCAGAGGAACGAAAATGGTCACTGGCCTCGTGGCCGCCAACCCCCCAGACCCCAAAGTCCGCACGAGACGGTCGGTGACCAAGCGCAACATCATGCTCAATTCAGCCTCTTCCCACGAAGCCGATGTCCGGCTCACGCCAGAAGTACGACGAAAGCTGTCCCTGCTCTACGACGAAGTCCAGGGGCTCCTGCGTCAGTACAACGTGCAGTCTTGCTAGCCCCAATTCGTGCGATCAATGAATTTGTCTGTTTCGTGTGTGAAACCGCTGTAACTGTTTCCACGCCAGCGAAACCACCAACGTCGTGACAAGTCGTTGCCACGGAAAGTGGAGCGGCCATGACGGATGTCAAGGTCGTGCCAACGATGGCGGCGCAAAAGTACGCCGTGCAAGATCAGGGGATGAAGCGGGGATCGTCGGCGCAGCTCGTGACCAAGAGCAGTGTCGCCGAAGCGGCCAAGGCGACCAAGGAGCCGCGCAACTACTCGTACAGTGCCTTGATCGCATACAAAGTCGACACGTTCATTTCGACCCGTCGCGGACAAACCATTTCGCTCGTCACGTTTGGCAGTGTGTTTACGTTGATCATGGCGTTGATCATGTTTTCCGTCGGCGACGAAGAAATGCTCGACTTTGACGAAGCGCTGTGGAATTCGTGGATGTACATGACGTTTCCAGGGGCGCAGCGAGACGCCAATGGATGGGTACGTCGTGCGTCGATCTTGCTACGACTGAGTGCTCTTGTCTGGTCTGCAGAGCCACCGCGCGATTGCCATGTTCGTCTCGATCATTGGGATCTTATTCTTTGCCGTGATTCTTGGGTTTGTCGTCGACAGCGTGCGGGAAAAGATGGACAGCTTGAAGAAAGGCAAAAGCCAGGTTGTAGAGGAAAACCACACGGTACTGTCTTGTCGACACTTCGCACCTCTGTCGGAATGGATGGTCACGGTGGCATGGCGATGTAGTTGCTCCTGGGGTGGACAGACAAGTCGGTCTACCTCATTCGCGAACTCTGTCGCGCGAACGAGAGTGAAAAGGGCGGCGTCGTCGTCGTGCTGGCCGAAATGGAGAAAGAATACCTTGAAGCCGAGTTGCACTCGCAAATGAGCAGCGAAGATTTTCTCGGGACCAAGGTCGTGTTCCGATCGGGGAACCCTCTCCTCATCATCGACCTGCTCAAAGTGTCCGCACACACCGCGCGCAGCATTGTTATCATGGCAACGCTGGGCGATGCCGACAAATCCGACGCGTCCGTGCTTCGGATCATCCTGAGTCTCTTGGGCCTTCCTTATGTACGTCTACGCTAGACCAACTAGGTCTCCGACACTTGCCTACATTCTTGGCGTGCACGTCTAACCCACGGCCATGTTGATCGTGCGTTTGATAGCTTCGAGGACACATTGTCGCGGAGGTGCGCGACATTGACAACGAGCCCTTGATTGCGCTAGTCGGTGGGGGAGTCGTCGAGACGTTGGTCTCCCACGATGTGATCGGCCGCCTTGTAATCATGTCTGCGCGTTCGCCAGGCCTGGCCAAAGGTATGAGCACCGCACTGAGCACACAGCACTATGGTGTTGACCATGCCATTCTGTGGCTTGTCCTGCATAGTGTTTAGCTCGGTACTCGGGTTCGAAGGCAACGAGTTCTACATCAGCGAATGGCCACAGTGCGTGGGGGTACCGTTCGGCCAGCTACCGGAGCGATTTAGGGCCGCCGTGCCCATTGGAATCGAGACGACTGACGGGGACGTTCAAATCAAGCCCGACCCAACACGCCCAATGGAGGCTGGGGAAAGCATTGTTTTCTTGGCAGAGGATAATGACACTTACAAGGCTGAAGAGACCGCGATCGCGATCCCGACCACGCCGCCGCATGCTTTGGTCACATCCGAACGCCAGCTCGAGAAGATTCTCATGTGTGGGTGGCGGCGCGACATTCGCGACATGATCAAGCTTCTGGACGACCTCGTGCTGCAAGGGTCCGAAGTCCACTTGCTGTGCGAAGATCCCCCCATCGAAGAGCGCGACAAGCAGCTAGTCGAGAGCGGCATGGACCTGAGCACCCTCGTCAACATCGAGCTGATCCACCAATTTGGGAACTCAGCTATTCGACGGCACGTGGACCAGCTTCCACTCGAAAACTACACGAGTGTGATGGTGCTGGGCGACCAGTCGCGCGAAATGGACATTCTCCACTCCGATTCACATTCGCTCAGCACGGTGCTCCTCCTTCGGGGGCTGCAGGCGGCGCGTAAGCGGCGGATGCGGCGCCGCCTCTTCAACGAAACCGTCGACATCGGGCTCACCAAGTGGATGGGCAACAGGGACGAACACATCTCGCAGTGCCCGTGCATCACCGAGATTCTCGATCCGCGCACGCAAAAGACCATCGCGAGCAACAAAACGATTGCGAGTCACTCGGAATTTATCCAGTCGAACGAACTCGTGAGCTGCATGTTGGCTATGATCTCGGAGAGCCGCAAAGTCAAGAAGATCCTGAACGACCTCCTCGGCGCCACGGGCTGCTCGTTTCAGGTCGAACCGAGTGTCCGGTACTGCGACCCGACCGAGTCGCTCAGCTTCTTTCAAGTCGCCAAGCGAGCGCTTGTCCACGATGAAGTCCTGTGCGGCTACCAGGGTCGCGCCGCGTCCGACAGCACTGTCCTGAATCCGTCCGACAAAGATGTGGCGCGGACGTGGAAGGATATCGACTTCGTCATCATTCGAGGAAGCCGTACACGCGAGGTGGCAAATGAGAAGCTGATCGACTCTGGCGCCGAAGCCTTTCAGGACGCTGCCCGCCACCGCCACGTGGCGGACCTGGTCGAGAAAAATCACGTCGAGCAGGTGCAAGAGGAAATCGCGAAGTCGCTGCAAGTGGGTTTCACCAGCGCGGACAACAGGGTCGTGGAAGTGACCAAGGAAGTGTTGCAGCGTTTGTCGGTCAAGCTGTCCGTGATTCTGAAAGAATGCGAGCAACACAAGGTGGCTTAAACTGCTAGTGGTGACAGGTGGAGAGGAACAAGTTAATGGAAAGGATGCTCGTTCGTTTAGCTTCATGTGAAGGCCAGCACGATCGGTGTGGCAATCGCTGCCACGATGCCCACGACAAGGATCGCGATGAGCATCTTCTTCTTCGTGTTCTCCCACCGGAGGTATGCTGCTTGCTCTTCCGCAGAAATAGCATCGCCAATCGTGATGGCGACTGCGTCCAGCTCGTCCTTGACGTGCTCGACGACCTTGGTCTGTTCGTGGACGACCTTGTTCACTTGGCCCACCGCATGAACCAAGTGGTTCATTTCGTCGGCTAGAGCCAGCTCCTTTTCGAGCACATCTTTTCCCGCTTGGAATTCGTCAGTTGTGATTGTCCCTCCTTGAATCAAATCTGCCCACATGGGGCGAGTCAGGAATTCGGTCGCTGTCGCATCGACGCACCGTATTCGACGACAGCTTCATGCTTCCGGGCGTGCATGCGTTGGGTTTCCTGGAGCCGCTTCATGGTGACGACAAAGTCCTTCTGGACTGCCTTGAGCTGCGCTTTATCGAGTTTGTGCTTCGACTTTTCGAGGAAATTTGCCACTTGGCGTGACAGCACGTCCATGCTGGGTTTGGTTTGGCTCAAGAACGTCATCACGTCCGGTGCACTGCACCGATCTTCGACCACCCCCAGACACTCTTTCATCCTGTCGACCGCCTCTTGAGCTTCTTCGATGGTATGGAGCGTCGGGCCATCGGTAGGCATGCCGCGGTGCCGCGTTGTATCACAGCCACGCCAAAAATAGACGAGTCGTCCAGCAAACGCTCGCAAGGGGCGTTTGCGCGCCTGATGGCGTTCCGTCCTTGCCATCACCAAAGCAAACGGCTCTCTATTGAGTTCTTACGATTGCGCCTGGTTTAAAAAGTACAGCACGACGGGCGTGGCAATCCCGCCCAAGAGAACCAGCGCCAAGCAGAACATCAGGCACTTCTTCTTGGTTACCTGCCATATCAAGTACGCGGCTTGCTCTTCTTCCGAGATAGCGCGCCCAATCTGCAGTTTGAGGTCCACTGCTTTGTCGTGCACTTGTATGACGTCGGCTGTTTGAGCTCCGACCACTTGTCCGACCGCCTTGAACACTTGGTGGACGGTGCCCGCTTCTTCCACGAGCTTGGCGAGACGCAATTGTTCGTCCTTGGCACGTTTCAAATCGTCGGGTGATACCACCGCCGCCTGAATCAATTCTATCGATGTGATTGAGGGACATCATGGTCATGCGTCTCTCTCGTCGTACCATGTTCCACGAGTTGTTCCCGCTTCCGTGCAAAGTTGCGCTGAATCACTTGGAGCTCCTTCATTGCCTCGACAAACTCTCGATGGGTCGCTTTCAGCTTGTCCTTGTTGGCGCTTGACCGGCGCTGTGAGTCCAGGAACGCAGCGACCTGACGCGCAAGCGCTGTGGCTTCATCCAGGTCGGGTTTGGTCACGGCGACAAAGTCGACTTCCCTCCGTGGCATATCGTTGACACATTCGGCATCGATTCTTGCCATGCATTCCTTCATGCGGGCCACCGACGCTTCGGCCCCCGCCGACAGAATCGAGTCCATGGTGTGTCGGTTGGTCGGAGGAGTGTATCGAGGCTGCCAGAAATGCGCCACACGTCCGGTGGCAGGAGGGGGTTACATGTGGGCTAAAAATAGTTTACTTCAGGAGCCAGCTAGGAATGCGGCATGCCAATTTCCATTCAATTGCCCACCACTCTCCGCCGCACGGCGGCCAAGACGTTCGTGTGCGCGCTGCGTGCATGCCAGGAGACCAAACGAAACGATGCAGATGCCAGACAAGTCACATTTCTCTTTAGCCATGCTCACCAGTACAATCTACGCTGTTGCTCGAGCACGCCCCAGTTGCAATGGGCCATATGGACGTTGTTCCCGAAACCGTTTGTTTGGAGGCACCAGTCCGTGTGCACGGCGTGTTGAAACACTTGAATGTTGTTGTGCATGCTGTAGCGCCACCATTGGTTTCGGTTCTCGAACCCACACGGGTGCTGGTGCACCTTGACGACGCCATTGTCCCAGTACGCGTCCAAGCACGTCCCGTCCGTTTGGTAGTAGAGCCCATAGTTGTCGTGGTCCATCTCGACACGTCTCCACACAGCGTTGCGGCCCGAGACTTGCGCAATCGTAATTGTTTGCGAGTTCGACGACATCAAGTAGTAGTCGTAACCAAGGGTCGGCGACGAGAGTCGGTCGTTCCCAATGAAGAAGCAGTTCCCGGCATTTGCGGCATTGCAATCACTGAACACGCTGTTGGGGCTGACAATGTCGAGCGGAGTGAATTGGCGCAACCAGCATTCGTACGTCGAGTTGGATCCGTTGGGGTACACGATGGTGGGTTTGTCAAAGCACGATGGCGTCGGGATGTCGGCGTCTTTCGCCAGCACCAGGTCGACACCCATCGACTCGTTAGCGCGAGGCAAGACCTCGGCGGACGGGGTGCCAACGGCGAAGAGTACCAACAGCACGGTGCACGCGATCTTCGTCCACATCTCAAATTCGAAAGTGATCATTCAGGACGTCGATGCCGTCGCGGACGTCAAAATTTCGGCGGCGCTCGCCTGCGTCACCACCAACTCCGCTCGTGAGAAACGTTGTCAACCCGGCGTCATGAACATTGGCGACGAGGACAAGTCAAAATCACGTTTTATAGGCATGTGCGACCTGAAAGCCATTGTCCAATTTTTGAACTTGTTTTCATCAAGAGGATGAAGATGCATATTTGCATGTGACCAGACATCGCCTCGGCTGGCTCGTGTGGATGGTGGG